TTATCATATGATAATATGGGCAATTTACATTTTCTCTCTTTCACTCTTGATCAAGTTGACTAGGGGTTTATTAATGTTGTTGATCTTTTCAAAGAAGCAGATTTTTGCTTTGCTCATTTTATCTGTTGTCTGTCTTCTGTTTAATTTCTGCTCTTATCTGTCTTCTGTTTTACTAATTTCTGCTCTTATCTTTCTTGTTTATGTCCTTCTGCTTATGTCAGGTCTTCCTAACTCTCTTATGATATTATCTGACTCATAAATTATTTAAAAGTGTGTTTAATTCCAGATATTTGAGGTTTACCTAAATATTCTATTGTTATTGAATTCCTCCTGTGAATTTTCATGTAGAAGAACAACACATAGTTCAGGGAAAAGAGAGAAACTGGGACAATAAATGCCCTTTTCATGTTTCTGGGTAGATGTAATTTAGGTAATTTATCTGTGTATTCTTACAACTATTTATTTCTGAGAGAGAGAAATACAAGCAGGTTAGGACAAGATTAGTCAGATAAATAAATAGTAATGAATATCTTTTCATAAAATATTTCATGGTTTAAATCTCCTTCCATATATTTTTTTATTTGATTCTTCAACAAAGTATCATGTGTCCATTTGACAGATGAAGAAACTGAGGTGCTTAGTGTGTACGGGGTAGAATGAGGACTTGAGTCAGGATGTTCTGAAGTCACTTAATTCTTGTGCATCTTTTCCATGAAATATTTATAAAAGTTCTCCAATAAAAGGACTTACTGGTTATATGTGTGAAACACTGGGAGCAAACTTAAGTTTCTTTATCAGAGGGCTTCGTGGAGCTTTTTGTGAATTTCCATAAAGACTGTTCAGTATCAGGTATTTTCCAAAATAATTTCACTTCATAATTTGTTATTTGTGGAGGGTTTCATGAAGCAACTGCATCATAGAACACATCCAAGAATAGCTGATATGTAATATTTAATCTGCTGACACTGAGGAGATTTTTTTGAATACCTACTATGTGCAAGGTCTGGCGCTACGTGCTGGCAGATCAAGATACTCAGCAGTATATAAGACATATCTCCCATTAAGGAGCCCTCATCATGTTTCCATTAATTCAAATAATGTTTACATACTTATCACTGTTGCTGCTCTGTCATTTGTTCTTGTGTCTACTGGCATCCTCCGTCTATTCTCTGAGAACCTTACCGACATGACCCAATTCCCCTTTGATGTGCACACTCCCTGAAGTATGCAGTCAGGGATAGGAGAGTTGTTGGATCAGGCTGGGGTTAGTCACTGCCTTGGTCTGAATTGTACTGCTCCCCTCCCCCAACAAATTCATATGAAACCCTAACCCCCAACATGATTGTAACTAGAGATAAGGTCTTTAAGAGGCAATTAAGCTTAAAAGAGATCTTAAGAGTGGGGACTAATCTGATAGAACTGTGATCTTATAAGAAGAGGATGAGGAAAAGATCTCTTCCCCACCCTCCACTACATACTGGCACTCTGATCTCTGACTTCCAGCCTCCATAACTGTGAGAAATAAATCCTGTTGTTAACCCATTTATGCCTAGTGTTCCATTATTGGAACACTAAGCATATGGGAGTTATTTATATCATACTGCTCAAGGTCATCGCCAAGGTCTGATTGCAAAAATTCAAAAAATTGCAACCTCAGGCATAAATGCAGTTAAGCCTCGCAGTCAGTGGTATTTTGCTATGGCAACCTGAGCTCACTAGGTCACCCAACTCAGCAGAGGACACAGGGAAGCTCCTTTCATAGACACCAAGGGGAGCTAAAGAGGCTTTGTAACTCCCAGCTGCAGCTCCTGCTTGCTTCTCTGAAGCAAGCTTCAGATTCATGAAGCTTGATTCATGAGCTTACACAAGCTTCTCACGTGAAGAACTTTATATCAATTATTTTTGTGATGTTTCTAGCTCCTCTTGTGTGACTTTTCTTGCAACACCCAAGAGCTGCCCCAGCAGCAAGATAAACTTTGTCTTGAACATCACGTAGGCCTTTCAGCAATCTCTTTTTTCCCCTGAAATTAACAAAGCTGAGTCTTCTTCTGCCTTTAGCTACCCTGCAAAGTGAGACAAATGGGGTAGAGAAGAGAGGAAGGAACCAGAAAGCCCTCCCCAAAAGTGACAGCAGGAAAATCAGGTGATCCTCTTCTGCTGTGCGCAAAAGTGAAATGTTGTCAGGTACTGTGGGCCCTTCCTGAGAACATGAGCCTACAGGCTGTTCCCTGGTGAAGCCCTGAGCAACTCAGAGAGAAAGAAAACTATGTGTATGGAGGTGGAACAAGCTTCTGCTGCCTGCTTCTCCCTTCCCCATCAAGAGTCTCCTCCCAGAGCAGCCCACCTCCTCAGCAGCAGACACCCAGCCTGCTGCCTGTCCCCAAGCCTTCCCTTCCCCCAGGCCTGGGCAGCCCATGCAGTGAATACAGAGCAGTAACAGAGCCCAGGGCCCAGGTCTGACTGCACATCCTGGCCCTCACCCTGCAGGCCCCTCTGAGCCTAGCCTGTCCTGAGTATGAGCAAGTCCTCGTCTTAGACAGTATTGGGCCTCTGCAGTCCTTTCCTGCTCAAAATAGCAATGATCATCATCCTAATAACCACCATGCATTGGCTGCTTTCTACTTACCAGTCACTGTGCTGAGTGTTCTAGAAGCATGGTTTCATCTGAGTCTCACAACAACCCTATAACATGTGTAATAGTATCATCTCCATTTCACAAACGAGGCAAGTGAATCTTAGAATGTGAATTCCTAAAGTGTGGCCAGTCCCCTACCCAATAGTGGACAGTGGCGGCCCCCCAGATGGACTAGGAACTGATCCTCACATGTAAGACCTTTGTATAATTCCAAAGGAGAAATGAAACAAAGTTATTTAGAATTTCATTTTATATGCAATTAAGGGCTACTTACAGGCAATCCCATAATTGTATTATTAAAGGTAACTATAATTTGGTTTTCATAAACCAAAATTAGCTCATTGCTAGAGTTTATCACACATTGTAATTCAATATTTTCCTGAGAGATAGGAGGCTTGGCAATGCTATACTGGTTCCACTGTCCCCGAGCACACACAGAGAACCGGTAGACCCATGATTTTCACAACTCTTCATTATCGAGTGCCATTGCCTTTTGTCTTGAACTGACAATCGATTTCTATCACTGTTTTCTTACTCTGAATGATACTTTGACATTTTAGCTTTATCACTATTTAATTTGTTGTGAGCCCTCTTTTTAACCCTATTGTGAGTGGTGAGACATACTGAATATTTTGTGCCATTATTCTCCAAGAACTCGATTGAAGAAATGGACATGTGTATTAGGTTAAACTAAACGGAACTGTTTGTATTTAACCATTTCTTACCCTAGGTTAAACCCTATGAAACTGACTATATTCAACCATTTTTGACCTACAAAAATGACAGTTCTGTATGGTCCAATCTAATTGTTCAAATGTAAATGTAAATTATTCATATCTTGTTTTGAGACAGTTGTATGCACAATTCTCCTCAAATATGCTTGCACAATGACACTTCACTGGTGATATTCTGCCTATGAATTTGTGCTATCTAAATAACTTGCCACATGGTATTACAAGGTAATTGTAAGAAAATTGCTAAGTTATGTTAAGTTTACATTCATTTTTCTAGGATTCAAAATTTTGATTATGAGTTCATATTCTTTCCTTAGAATTTATTCCCTTCCAGTCCTAGCTCCTTCATTATCACCTGCTTCCTTTTCCACTGTGAGGTGAAAATGGGTAGAACACACGGACCTTTGGATTTTTTTGTGCCATCTGCACTGACGCTGGTCAAAGAAGCTTGAAAAGTCCTACTTAAGGACCAGAAAGGTTTTTCAATTCCCATAACTAGGAAGTATGGATTCAGGATTCCCATCCAGGCCAGCCTCACAGATGGAGGACGTGGTACATTTTTGGTAAATGGCACCAGTTACATTCCTGTGGCTGCCTGAACAAGAAACCTCAGCCTTCCTTGTCAACTCGAGGAAAGCTAGGATGCTAACATTTATTAAGGGACTACTGCATGCCTGTCACTCTGCTCAGTTAGGTCAAAACTTATTTAATATCATAACAAACCTATGAGATTGATAGCTTCAATCCATACAGATGGAGAAATGGGTTCACAGGCTTGAATACTCACTCCAAGTTGCAGAAGCAGTATGGAGCTGATGAAAACAGAAAGCAAACTTCAAAACCCATGTGATATTCACTGTACTATCTTTTCTTTGTTTTCTTTTTCCTTCCCTATCCCCCATATTGAATTCTTCACCTATAAAATTACACCAAATCTGTCCACACCCCACCATCTTCCCTTCTGATGCTCTACCACCATCTCTCCTGTGGACAAGTGCAGCAGCTCCTGGCTTCCTTCCTGCATCCAGTCCCTGCCCACACCCTCTCTCTGGTCCCCAGATTGCTCCTAGCAGCCCCATTCTATGTATAGATCTGATCATGCCCCACCTCTTCAACAGCTCTGCAGAGCTTATGGGGTATAAAACATTTTCTCACCCAGCTTTCCAACCTACCTTTCTGGCAATCTCTTCCAACACTTCCTACCCACCCCCTCTGCCCCCACCCCACTAAACCCTCCAACACCCCGTGACCTTTCCAATGCAACTCATGGGCCTCTGTGCACTTGCTACTCAGGGAAGCTGTGGGCAATTTTTTTAAACCTATCTGCCAGTTCTTCACCTGGCAGTGCTCAATAAATGGTCATGAGATGTACTAGTACCCCATAGCCTCTTGTGCACGTGAGAGCATACTGGTGAGCTGTTTTGTACAGCAGATTGAAAGGTTAGCTGGGAGTAAGGATGCTTGAATCCTAGTTCAGTCTCACTGACTGTGCCACCAGGGACAGCGCAGACTCAGTCTCAGTCCCCTACCTGTAAAGGGTGGTATATCAGAGTGCCCATCTGGAGCTCACATCTGATGGTGCAAAGGACTTGATGGCTTACCCCAAAGGTATCCCTTTTTCTCACCAACAGGAAAGGACCTCGGAAGTCTTCTAAGGAGAGTCATGGCATATAACCAGGAGTCTTCAGTGGAGACCTCCATCATCAAGTTCAAAGACCAGGACTTTACCACCTTGCGGGATCACTGCCTGAGCGTGGGCCAGACGTTTAAGGATGAGACATTCCCTGCAGCAGATTCTTCCATAGGCCAGAAGCTGCTCCAGGAAAAACGCCTCTCCAATGTGATATGGAAGCGGCCACAGGTGAGTGAGCCCCACAGAAGCATACCAGCCCCAGGGTCCTCGGAGTCACCTGCCATGGCACCTCCAGCCGAAAGGAGGTTGGGCCAAACCAAACCGGAAGGAGAATGAAATTCACTGGGTATCTCTGCTCCAGTGTTGCAGCTATTCAGCGGGATGGGAAGATGCTATAGCAGGAGCCAGGAGCCCAGACTCCTAACTCTAACCCAGTTCTAACACTAAGTACGTCACTAAATTAAAATGCCTCCATTTTCATCTAAAGATGGGAAACCATGGGTATGAAAATTGTAGTTGTTGGAGTCTCCTCCACCACATAACTGACCCCATCTATCACTCTGTCACCCTTTCTTCTCTTCAGATGTCAGTATCTTTATATTCTTTTTTCCTTCCCTGTTAGAATTTGCTCAAAGGGAAGATATCAGGTCAGTCATTTACACTATAGGATGAATTTAAATAATCACCTCCCCACTCTCTTTTATATTCACATTCTCGATCTTAGAGAGGCTTGACCACCTGCAAGAGAATTTTAGACATCAGCTTTAAAATTAGGGAGATGTTGTAGGACAACGTTCAGATCTCCCTGACTCCACAACCCCAGCAGATGGCCACTACCTCTACCTTGCAGCCAGGTGAGCCCTCCTGGTTTTTCTAGAACTATCTCAATTTTAGGGCATGACACCTCCATGGAAAATGTCTCAGCTGACTCAACATTCTGATAATCTCATCAGGACTACTGTTGATGCAAAGCACCCGGATAATGACCACTCTAAGGACCCTCCTGCCCAAACCTCTATTCATGCTTCTGTAGGCTGCCAGTATAACCTAGAATGAGATAAAATAATATAGTGTCTAGTAAGCTAATCATTATAATATCTGCAACCATTATTGAGCACTAATTAAATGCCAAACACTGTCCAAACACTTCCCATAAAGCCAAGGTAGGTTACAGAATAAAGTTATTTTCTAATGGTGGCTACTAAGAGTCTATGAGGCTGTGAGACAAAAGTATTTGTCTGGTCTGTGGATCTCTAATTTGGTTCTGCACATGGGAAGGAGAACTGAAGACATCAGGCTCTGGGAGGCAACACCTCTTGCCCTACATTGGGACAGATTTGAAACTTTGGTGAAGGGAAGGGTTAGGGATCAGGTAGCGTTTGGGATGCTGCTTAGAGAAAAGTGCGGTGTTTCAGCGTTCTAGGATCCTCTTATCAGCCATTGGCAGTAAGTCCTCAACAATGACTCTCTTCTTCTAGTCTTTACCTCCTAAGGAGAGATGAAGCAGAGAATTCTATTTAAAGAAGTTCCAAGAGGTCATTTTTTTCCCATTGCTATTTTCAGAAGCTGAGATTATTTTAGAAAGTGGTGGGATTTTTTTCTCACAAGGTGCTGAGCAATAGATGTGAGACCATATTTATAGTGTTGAAGAATTTATAACACTTCTCTTTAGAAAGGATTGAGAGATTCTAATTATCTGATTCTCACAACACTTCAACTTGTGATGTCTTTTGGGGGCAAGGAGAAACTGAGGCAAACGGAAGTGAAATCACTTATAAAGAATAATGCCAGGAACCCAAAATAGAGGCAGCCAGGGGCCGAATCTGCTTTCCCATTACTACTTTCCTCATCCAAAAGCTTACCTGAGCTCTACTGGGCGGATTGGGGGCACTTTTTCATTCTGGCACTTCTTTTTAAATGTCATATTTCTTTGTCTTTCTTATCACAGTTGGCAAGACTTACCTTTGTATAGTACTTTCCAGAGCTTTCCATGTGTCTTCTCATACTTTATCTTCTTCGTTTTCTCCTAACTTTATAGAAAACTGATGTTCAGACAGGTGATGTGACATGCCAAGGTGACATGATTAGTGAGGGAAGGATCCAGAATTTAAATGAAGATTCCTTCCACCTGCTGCGCTTTCCCCCCACTGACTTAAGTGCCTAATAGGGTCTCTGTTAGAATTTGGATGAACAAGTACATGAGTGAATGGATTAATGAAGAACCCTATCTACAGGTGCCTGATGCACGTTTCAAGTTCACATGTGCAAGAAAGAAACCTTGAGTTGACCTATTTTCCAAGTAGGACAGTAAAGGAAAAAGCCAATGTACTCACCCCTTCGACACTGTGATGTCCTTGACCCACAGTGTACAGCTGTGACTGCAGAGAGCACTGGAAGAGAAGCCACGCCAGCCTGGCCCATTCCTAATAGTAACGGCCACACCCACAGAGTGCTGACCATATGGCAGGCCTGGCTTTAGGGGCTTTGACTTGTCAATCCTCACAGTAACTCTGTGATAAGATACTATTATTAGCCTCATTTAGCAGCTGAGAAGCAGAATCAGAGAGTAGGGGTACCTCTGCCCAAAGTCATATAGTTAGATGATAGTAGAGCTGGAATTTGAACCCAGGAGTCTGGTTTCAAGACCTGAGCTCATAACACCATGCTAAATGGACCCTGTAAGTCCTCATCATAAGCTCATGTCCTATTCTGGGTTCCTGCCTGTCACTAGTAATGTTTTTTGCACTAGTAGAATCTTCTACCTCATGTGAGTAAAACAGGAATCAATCCCTCTCTAAAGTTCATCTGTCTATGTTCTGCCCTTTTTTCCTTTTTAGGGATAAAAATGGCACCCGTACCACATATGATTACTTTAAGGACTAAATGAGTACAATACTTAGAACAGTGTCTAGCACAGTGTAAACACTAAGTATGCACTAGTTACTGTTACTGTGATTAATTTGTGAGAATGTCATAAGGTAGCAGCCTCAGGGCCTATTCCCTGGGATTCTTGGGATTTCACAGTCCAGCCATCTCAGCTTCAGCCCTTGGCCAGTTTAAGAAACTCTTTCAGGGAAAAATGTGGGTCAGAGGAAACTATGTAGGGGCTGAAGGAAGGTTGGCAGGGAGCGTAGAAAATGCCTTTCTTCTCATGTTCTGCTTTTTTTTTCTTTTTCTTTTTTTGAGATGGAGTCTTATTCTGTTGCCCAGGCTAGAGTGCAGTGGCACAATCTCAGCTCACTGCAACCTCCACTGCCTGGGTTCCAGTTATTCTCCTGCCTCAGCCTCCTGAGTAGCCAGGATTACAGGCATGAGTCACCATGCCTGGCTAATTTTTGTATTTTAGAAGAGATGGGGTTTCACCATGTTGGTCAGGTTGGTCTCAAACTCCTGACCTCAAGTGATCCACCCACCTCAGCCTCCCAAAGTGCTGGGATTACAGGCATAAGCCACCATACCCAGCCTCATGTTCTGCTTTCTATCACTATTTTTAGAAGGTTGACTCCCAAGCTATAGAACTTGCTGAGTGCCTGACCAGAGGTCTGACCAGTGGCCCTTAAACTTCAACTATATGAGGGCTGAGGTAGCACCAAGGTATTTTAGGCCCTCTCCACATTCTAAGTTTTTCCAGACAATGAGAAATCTCCTCCTATAGGCAACTGGTAAACCACAAGGGACATTATTCTGTTTTGAGTATTTATCCCAGCTTGGCAGGTTCAACACTAGCCCAAGAGTCAGGGGCATGAGAACCAGGCTTAGCTTTCTATGCCTGGTGCAGAAAAGTTGTTTTGTGTCATATACCTTTCTTTCTCTCTCCTCCTCACTGTCTTACCTACCCTTTTCTTCCTCTGGCTCTTGTCCTTCCTTCCTCCAACAATTAACCCAGTAATCTCATCCATTTTGCTGCTGAAACTTTTTCTGAAATAGAAGGAAGCCCTGTTCACATCCTGCTTCATTCTGTTCCCAAGCCCTTCCCATCCCCCAGTCAGGCTCCACAACAGCCCATGATGGTGCCCTGTGCAAATGGCACTGAGAGGACCCGACTCCTCATCAGTCTCAATGCTTCCTACAGCCCCAGTCTCAGCAAGGGACAGTGCTAAGAAATTACACTTACACATGAGGTATCTACGTGATATTTCCCTGAGCTAAATTTGGTACTTAAAGTGGACCCCTTTTAGCAGAATTTTTATTTCATGGATAATTTATCAAGCATGTACATGTGTAAAGTATTATGCTAAGCACTTTACATGCAATATTTCATTTAATTGGCCTCACAGTCCTGTGAGGTAGATAATATTATCATCCTCATTAAATAGATCAGCACCATCCAATAGAACATTCTGTGATAATGGGAATGTTCTTCTTGCACTGTTCAATACAGTAGCCACTAGTCACATGTGGCTATTGAGCACTTGAAATGTGACTGATGCAACTGAGGGATTAAAGGTTTAAGTTTTATTGAATTTAAATTAATTTAAACATAAGTATCCACATATGGCTTGTGACTACCATATTGGACAGTACACAATGGTAAACAGTAGATCTTCACAACAATAACCAGTGTTGTCAGATAAACTGAAATTTCATCTTTGTACCCATTTTATAGTAAAACACACTTTACTTTTCAACTGAAAAATGGGCTGTGTGCCCCAAGCACGTTGCTTAACAGGTGTTCGAAGCTCAGCACAGCCCCATGTGGCTTCCTGCCTGTGGCCATCCTAGAGTGAGGCACTGCCTATCCAGGTGACACCTCTCCTTCCATGCAGCCAGAGCAGTTTCTGAAAGGATCATTCACTAGAAACGATTCACCTTGGGACCAAAATGTGTTCTTCAGGAAAGGAAGAGGTTAAAAAGCAGAGTTGTAAGTGCCGGTTAGGTTATGAAAGCATTCCATAAGGCAATAGGTAACAAAAAATGGCAGAAAGTGACCCTGCCAACAGCCAAGTGTCATTCAGCCAGAGAACTTGGATGCCAATAAATCAAAGTCCTCTAGCAAAAATAGAAAAGGGAGTGATGCTGCCACTTGTCCCAGACTGAACTCTGGCCACCATATGAAAGAGCCAACTACCAAGAGTCTAAACACAGGGCTCTCTTACCCAAAAGCAGCATGCCATGTGAGGATGTGGAAGTCTTTAGAGAGAATGCAGAAATATGCCGGGTGCTGTCACATTATTTCTTGGCATATTTCTCCATCTACCTCTGGAGATGATTAGGGGAGAGCAGCTGGCGTGGGACCACATCAGAGAGGGTATTTTCTAAGATGCCAGGAGCCCTCGCATTACAAGAGCTCTGACATACCTAATATAACAGAGATTACCCCCAAGCATTGCCTGGAGAAAGGTCTCCACAATCCAGAATTAAGTTCCTAAGATTACTTAGCTTGACTATTGCTGCTGGCTTCTGTATTACTCAGGGCTCTCCAGAGAACAAGAATCATTAATATATATCCTGTTGACATATTTATTGCTAGTAAATATATCAATATATCTTATATAAATATATTCCATTAACATATTGACATATATCCTAATAGATATCCTGTTGATATATTTATAATGAGAGATTTACTAGGAGGGATTGGCTCACACGCTTATAGAGGCTGAGAAGTCCCACGATATGCCACCTGCAATCTGGAGACCCAGGAAAGCCAGTGATGTAGTTAAATCTGAGTGGGAGGCCAGAGAACCAGAGAATGGATGATGTAATTCCCTGCCCAAGGACAGGAAAAGACCAATGTCTCAGCTCCAGGAGTCAGGCAGAGAAAGGGCAAATTCTCCCTTTCTTTATCTTTTGTTCTATTTAGGCCCTGAATAGACTGGATGATGCCCACACACCCTGGGAAGGGAATCTGCTTTGCTAAATCCACCAATTCAAATGTTAATGTCATGTGGAAGCACCCTCATGGACATGCCCAGAAGTAATGTTTAGCCAAGTATCTGGGCGCTCTGTGATCCAGTTAGGATGCTATATAAAATTAACCATCCCAGCTTTCTTCTGTACTAATAACATTTCATAGCCCTCAAAGCCCAAGTCCATCTCACAGAATCCAAAAACAAAAAGGTTGAGAAGATGCTGACTGCTGGTGTGGTCAGAATGAAGAACAAGACACTATGGAGGCAGACACCTGATTCAGAGCCTGTTTCTTGTGTGACCTGGGACAAATCGCTCAACTTCTCTGAACCTACTCCCTGGCCCTGGCTGAGTCTCAGAATCCCCTGAGAAGCTATGCAAATCCTGAACGCTATCTCTGAATGACCTATGAAATCACAGCAGTGGGAGGTGGGGCACAGCAGTCTCCCTGTCTGTGAAGCTGCTAGGTGATTCACTGAAGACTGCCCATTGCTGCCAGTTCAGGGTGAATCTAATCTAGGTTCTCATCACACTGGCTTCACTGCCCTGATGTGCCTGGCCCATCTGGTAACAGGTGGCCTTCCCAGAGTCAGCACATTTTCAGTTTCCCAGCCTTCTTTACCTATTTTCTTAATGGGCCCTGTCTCAGGAAGTCAGCCTGGCAGACTAAAATGCTCCTGGGTATCATTTCTATCCCTTCCTACCGTCTCTCTTTTTGGATTATTGGTCATAGCTCTAAAGTCCAGGGTCCAGGAGGAACAAGCAGCTTAGAAGACAGGAGACATAGAAGCTGCTTTTGTGCCCACCTTTGATGCAAATGATTCGTATGTTTTCCCATAAACTTGAAGTTGACTATTGAATTGTGGTTTGAAATCATCACCATCTAATTTTCAACACATTAAAATATCTTTTTGTTCCTAATTAGCTAAAATTTTTGTTTTTAACTTTTATTATTCTAGTAAATCATAAAAACTTGTGTGTTTATCAAATGCCTTCATAGCATTTATTGAAAGGATACAAATTTTTTTCCCTTTGGCCCATGTAAGTGCTACTTCATATTAGTAGATGTCCTGATGTGAAACCATCCTTGCATTCTGCATTTCTACAGCAAATCCTACACAATGATAACAAATTATCCAAAATCAGTCTGGTATATATGTGAGTTTTCTCTCAGGTTGGGCATCAAGGCTATGCTGGCTTCCTAGATGGTGGCAGGATTCTTTTTTAATTTTTATTTTTACACTGAAACTGTAAATGACACTGGAATTTTCTATTCTCTGAAAGTTTGAGGGAACTCAGAGGAAAAATTGCATGTACCTGTAAGCCTTTACAGGGCATTTGGGCGATACTCTTTGGTAACTTTAAAATACTATCCAAAGGCTGTTAGTCTTTTCAGCTTGTTTACTAACACGAGTCAATTTTAGCCAAGTTTATTTTTGTCAGAAAATCATTGGATTTTTTTAATTGATTGGCATAGAATTCTACATCATTATTTTATATTTCTAAAGCCCAATTTTTAATTCTACTTTTATTTGGGTTTCTCTACCATATTTGCCAAAGGTTGAGTCTATGTAACCCTCCCCCACATATTAGGTTGGTGCAAACGTAATTGTGGTTTTTGTCATTGAAAGTAATGGCAAAAATCATTATTAACCATTACTTTCAATGGCAAATAATAGAACAATTTATTTATTAATCTTGCTGTTTTTCTGGTTTATAATTCACTAATGTTCTTTTCAGTTCTTCCTCCTATTTTTGTGAGGCTCTTTTTGTCTTTTTCTTCCTAAGATCTACTGCTAAATTCATGTTTTTATTCTATCTTGTTTAATAATGAATGCATCTGAGGCTATGGGTTTGTCTGAGTATAGCCTTTTTAATTTTGCAAATATTTCAAAAGAGGGGGATTAATAATTATTGAACATGTACTATGTCAGACACTGTGCTAAGTATTTCACATCCTTCCTCATTTGTAAACGTAAGGACTGGTCCAGCTTTGCAAGGCTGTTGGGAGCCTACCAGAGAGAATCCTGGAGCAAGGTACCCTCCCTCAGCAAGGATTTGATGAATGGCAGCCATTGCCTTGATTGCATCATCATTAGATTCTCTCAACTGTCCTTACATTTTGTATTATTGTTCCCATTTTACACATGAGGAAACAGGCACAGTAAGGTAAAGGGAATTGTTCAAGCTCTCAAGGTCACCCAGGAAGAAATGTTAGAGTAGGATTCCACACCAGGTCTGTCTGAATGGGTTCTCCAAGCACCCCTACCCTTGCTCTAGGGATCCCTGGAGGGGAACTAGCAGGTCCACAGCGAAAAAGAGCTGTGGCCAAAGTCAAGAAAATGGAGCAAAGCCATCTTTGTTCTGGGTCTGAAAATGCCACAGCCTCCATCCCTGCTTTACTTCCCATGAGTAGAGGATCTTTGACAGCAGGCCTCCTTTGAGACCTTAAGTCCCCTTTTCCAGTAGAGAGAGGAGACAAGTAAAGGTTACTGAAATGCCCTACACCATTTTAAAACTGGCTCCACTTGGAACCCTGCATGCACCTGAAGGCCCTCCGGATGTCCTTCCCTCTTTCTTGCGTTGAGGGAGATGCCAAAGTTCTGCCCACCATGGCTCTGGCAGAGGGTCAGACCTTGTGCCACCCCAGGGTCCCCCTCACCCGGAAGGGCCTGGGCCTGAGAGTTCCCCTCCTGGCATTTGACGGAGTCAGTTAGTTGTAGAGAAAGCAGCAGGAGGAGTTTTGTAAAATGATGCCCTCAGCCAGGACCCTGTGTTTGCAGGCAGGCACACCTTCGTTTTCCCCTAAGTGTGCATCTCTTCCAGAAATCTGGGCAGTTTATGAAGAGCTGGCAGGTTCTACAAGGCACGTGACTCTGTACATGAATGTCTACCGAGCAAATGAATCCAATTCCAGCTTGCAGGCCTGCTCTCTGCGGACTTATTGGTCAATGTGAAAAGAAATGATACAAGGACCAATTACTAAATTATGCAAATCCAGAAAGAGCTGCACAGAGAGGAGGCTGAGGTCATCCTGGCCAAGTCTAGAGGGCTGGCTGGTGTTGGGGCAGGAGCCAGACCTGTGGCCCAGTGTTCTCCCAAAGTGCCTGGGGGATCCCCTTTGGGAACTCTCACAATTTCGGTGCCTGCTGACAGTTCCTCATGTTCTTCCCAGATGTGGTAGCACTGGGGGAATCCTCCGTAACCACTTTCTTTGGCTGGCAGGCACTATGTGTGTTAGAAGTTAGGGAAGGACCGGGCACTGAGTACCAGCTCCTCACACAAGCGGACTGGGGCCTTCCAGACCCAGTCTGTGAGTTACCCAGGGAGTGGGTAAAGAGCTGAGGTGTGTGCACTGTATATCCCTTACAGCACATGGCTGGACTTAAACCTGGAGTCCAGAATGCCCATGCTCATTTCTGAAAGATACCATTTTACAACAAAAGCTTTATTATGAAAGCTATAGTACTTTATTACATTTATAAATGTCTCCTCTCATAAACGTATTCTATTCATTTTTTATGGTTTATTTACAACCTCTTATTAAAACCCTGGCTTGTTGAGATGGAATGGCTATTTGATCCAAGGATTCCAAGTCCTTATTTATGTTCTCTCTTCGTGTAGTATGCTAATGCATTATGGCCTGTCTTTTCAGTTACATTTACACCCTATGATACCTGCTGCCTTCCTGGTAGCAATAAAGGCCGAAGAGCCCAGCAAACTTTCCTAACTCGGATTTTAAGCACCTTTTTAAGAATTAACCTCGACCCTTGAAAGACAAAGTGAATGATGTCACTTTGCGATACAAAGCAATGAATGATGCTCATAGCTTTTCTCCTTCTTTCCTAAAGGATTTACCAGGGGGTCCTCCTCACTTCATCCTGGATGGTATAAGCAGATTTGACATCCAACAAGGAGGCGCAGGTAAGAGTGCAACATCTTCTCTCCCTGCCTTGGATAGGAAGTGGTGGAGGGTGGTGCCTACCCACAGAGTCCTGCCCTACTTCTAAGGGAGAAAGGCCAGTTCCCTTGGTGCAGATGTGGACAAACTGCTCACACCCAGTCCTGCAGCCTGCAATGAGCAGGGGAAAAGGAGACAGGAAAAATGAAAGCAAACATACACTGAGTTTCTGCAATGACCGTGCAAGACACCTTGTGTGTGCAACAACCTCATTTTATATATGTGACAGTGGAGAGTCCAAGAGATAAAATAATTTGCTTAATGTCACACACTCAGTTAGTAACAGAGTTAAGAATCCAGCACTCTCTGACTGCTTCCCACCCCACCAGGCAGCCCCAGAGCAAAGGAGCTACTGAGAGCTGGAGGGTATGGACAGGGCAACAGGAGGGGCTGCCTAAGAGGAGGTACCTGGGCTGTTCCAGGTGTGGCCAAGAGAACCCTCAGAAAGAGAAGCGTTGGAGTGAAAGGGCAGAGCTGGCTGGAAAGTGGATAGGAGTTGGAGACAGCAACGACAACAACCTTTCTGAGAACACATTCTAAGCTTTCAAAATGTCAGCTTGCAGATGATAGGTCCTGTAATTGAACTTCGCCTGGTGAAATCACCGTGCCTTGGACCAAGTCAATAGAGCCTGCCTGGCCACCAGCCGATGGTTCCCCTATTAGGGTTTCACCTAACTGGAAAAAGGACCTCTCTGAGGCCGTCTTTGTGGCTTCTGTACTGAACCCAGTGCCTGGCATGAAATGGCATTCAAAGACAAATTGATCATGTTAGGGGTGAAGGAGAAAGGACTCAGGGAGGGGAGGAGAGGACTCAAAAGGGCTTACAAGGACATCCAAGGAGAAACTCAAGGCCATGCATCCCTCAAGGAGGAAAAGGAGAGAACACCCCCCTACTTCTGCACAGGGAGAGGCTGACCTAATAGGAAAGAAAAACATGAATCAGTTTTCCTCAATTGTACAGAGCATCATTGCCAACATTTGCTGTAACTGAGCACCTCTGGCAAAAAGAGAATCAGAGGCTGGACGTGCTGGCTCACACCTGTAATCCCAGCACTTTGAGAGGCTGAGGTGGGTGGATCACTTGAGGTCAGGAGTTTGAGACCAGCCTGGCCAACACGGTGAAACCCTGTCTCTACTAAAACAATACAAAAAATTAGCCGGGCTTGGTAGTGCGTGCCTGTAGTCCCAGTTGTGGAGGCTGTGGCAGGAGAATTGCTTGAACCTAGGAGGCGGAGGTTGCAGTGAGCCGAGAGCGCGCCTCTGCACTCCAGCCTGGTCAACAGAGCGAGACTCCATGAACAGCACCACCACCTCTGCCCCTTCTTTATCTGGCTTGGAGCCAGTCCCTGTGACTCCCTCCCCTGGTTCTCCTCAGAGGAAAAAAAAATGCATCATTTAGAAGGAAGTGTGTGGCCTCTGGTGGTAAGGACCTTTTAAATTATGGGACGGGGTTTCCAAGTGTGTCCCGTCAGCCTTTCCTGCCTTATCTCCCCTCACAGCTGACTGCTGGTTCCTGGCAGCACTGGGCTCCCTGACTCAGAATCCACAGTACAGGCAGAAGATCCTGAGGGTCCAAAGCTTTTCACACCAGTATGCCGGGATTTTCCGTTTCCGGGTACGTGTGCCCTTGCAACACTCATTATACTACGGGGTTCTCTGTGAATACAGGGAAGGTGAGAGTCTTAAGTTTTCTCATGGCCTGGAAGCCTGAGATGAAAGTGACAGTTGTGTTAGTTACCCTCCCTATCTCCAAAAAAAGGATTCAAGCTTATAGTCTGACAACACACAGGGAAGATGAGAGTTGAAATGTTTTTGTGTGAATAAAAAGAAATGACAGAAATGATTAGCAAAAGAGTCATTGATCGAGAACCCTGTAACTAACATCGAATTTTTGTCTCTGTTTATTCCTGTGCCATATTGTGCTATTTTGATTACAGTAGCTTTATAGGAAGTGGTAACATCTGGTAGGATAAGTTCTCCTTCATTATTCATTACCATTTTCTCAAAAATATCTTGGTAATTCTTTCACATTTATTCTTCCATGAGAATTTTAAAATTATTTTGTCTATTTTTTTAAAGCCACTGTGATACAGAATGCAGCAGCGTTTATGTATTAATTTAGAAAAATTACATTTTTTTTAAATTTTAAGTTTTCCTTTCCAGAAACATGGGATACCTTTCTATTTATTCAGAACTAGTTTTATGCCCTTCGATAAAGTGTAATATTCATATTGGTGCTGTATCTTTCTTGATAAATTCATTCTCAAACATTTTATAATTTTGTGGCTCATGTAATTGAGGTCTTTTTCCCTCATTTTGAACTTGGTGCTGCTAAAAAAGAGAAAAGCTACTGCTTATCGTATATTAAACTGTATCTAGGCTCCTTACCAAATTCTTTTATTAGTTCTTAATTCTTTCTTTAACAGAATCTGGAATGGTTTAGTTATCTAATAATATTATCTGCAAATAGATAATTTTGTCTCTCCTTTTAATATCTGTAGAACTTATTTTGCTCTCTTGCCTTGTGACATAAGCTAGAACCTCACAATTTTGAATGAGTGACAAGAGCCAAATCCTGCCTTCTCTTGATTTCAGTAATGTGCTCTCTTGATTCACTCTTCTTTTAGTACATTCAAGTTGTTAAAAAATTGTATTGGGATTTTTGTACCTATATCATGCATAAAAGTGGTTTCTAGTTGATGTTATTTTTATCATGTTTAACTTCTGCTAGCTTTTTAAAACAAGCTGATTGAGCTTTACATACCTTGATTTGAAATAAGTAGAATAATGAAAGCTAATCATTGATTAACTGTTCTTTGAAAGTAAAATAGACGATAGTGAAATTACCTGGGCCTGCCTCCCTTTTAAATATTATTTCTTTAATTCTTCCAGTGTATTCAATAGCTATTGATCTGTTCAGGTCTCTTACTTCTACCGAAGTTAATTCTTGAAATTTATACTCGAACTAGAAAAATCAACTGTTTCTTTGGTATTTTCAAATATATTGCCACTGAGTTGCTTGTATGAATCTCTGACAATTCATTTAACTTCTTGTAATCTGTGACTAAATCTACTTTCTCAATCTGTGCTGTATTTTTACTTTTCCTTTTTTTCTTAATTCTGCTTTTCTTTATCCAATGAATCTGTTATGTGGGTGTTGTGTGTGTATGGTTTTTTTTGTTTTTTGTTTTAACTAATCAACTTTTGATTTTCATTAGTCTTTCTATTCTTTTCCTTTTGAGGTTTTGTTTTCTATATAACTAATTATTTCAATCCTATCTTTATTAATTCCTTTATACTTTCTCCTGATTGTATTGTTTTTTGTGATTTTCTGAAACTTCACACTTAATATTCGTAGTCTTTTTAATTTCCTCTGAGATGTGTATCTATAGGTTTTGATATAAAAAGTCTTACTTTTATTAATTTTTAAGATAATATAATTTTAGGTTTTGTATCTTTTATCATATAGGGGTTGTTTCTTTAAAGTTTATTTGATTTTCAAGTGATTAAGTTTTGCAAGGGGTAATCTTTTAGTTACTGAGTTTCTGTTTTATTATAATTGGAGAATATAATTCATAACTATCTGCATTTGGGGAGATTAATAAAGTAGTTTTATTTCTAGCCAAGCCCACAGCAGTTTTTATAAATGGCTCATGGACACACAAGAACAATCTACATTATCCAATGGTTGTGAGTTTTACATACTGAATCAAGCTCTATGATTTCCAATTGTGTTATCTGTCATTATGTCTTTTATCTTTACTTATTTTTTGTCTGCTTGATTCTTTAGATCATAACAAAGGGGAGAAGTTCCTCCCATAGTTATTGTTAGGAGAATTCTTCTTATGTTTTCGGGTGCTCTGGCTTTACACTTTTCCTGCTATGTTCTTTGGTGCCCAAAGGTTTATGATCTTGCTATCTTCTTCTTGCAACAAAATTTGTACAATATCCCTATTTGTTGCATTTAATGCTCTGGCCTTGGATTCCTCTTTACCTGATATTCCTATTGCCACTTTAGCTTCCTGTTATGTACATTTCCCTGTTATATTTTTGTTCATTTCTTTATTGTTAATTTAATGCTCACTTGGTTATAGGTGTGTTTCTTATAAAAAGCATATTTGAAACTCATTGCCTACCACTGTTTCTCCCACCCTTCATTTCTCCTTAAGATTTTTGTTCTAATTAAATCTTTATTAGATAGAATTTCCTTGAATAATTTCCTCAGAATATGTGAGAGTTTTTCCTTTTCTCTCATTTAAAAATGATATTTCAGTTAGGTTTACGATTTTGGATCATGTTTCTTTTCCTGAAAAGTCTGTAAACATTGTTTCGTCATCTTGCAGCTTCCAGTGCTGCAGAAGAAACATCTTATGTTAATCTATTCTCTGGACTTTGACTTTGTATGCAATGTGTTCTGTCCAACTGAGAGTCTGTAAGAAGTGCTGGCCAGGCGTGGTGGCTCACACCTGTAATCCCAGCACTTTGGGAGCTTGAGGTGGGTAGATCACAAAGTCAGGAGATTGAGGCCATTCCTGGCCAACATGGTGAAATCCCGTCTCTCCTAAAAATACAAAAATTAATTGGGCATGGTGGTACATGCCTGTAATCCCAGCTACTCGGGAGGCTGAGGCAGGAGAATCCTTGAACCAGGAAGTCAGTGGTTGCAGTGAGCTGAGGTCGTGCCACTGCACTAATGCACTTCGGGCTGGCAACAGAGTGAGACTATATCTCAAAAAAAGAAAAAAAAAGGGCTCTCTCCTTGAAGTTCAGAAATTTCTCTGGAATATATCTATATATACACCTGCTAAAAATTCATCTTGTCTTGGAATTCAGTGATATTTTTCAGTCTGAAGACCTGTATCCTTCCAGTCAACTAAGTTTCCCTTTATTATTTCTGGGCCCTTCCTTTATCTTGCTCTTGCCTCCTTACATTCAGCTATTTGCATATTAGGTCTTCTGTCAGGCAGGTGATGATACTGCTGCTGGTCGAAGGACCACACCAGCGAGTGAGCTAGAGGATCCAGGATTGAGCTGTGTCTGGACTTGTCCCCAGCATTGGTGGAGCTACTTAGGTGGTTAGGACAACTCAAGGCCCAGGCAAGGCACACTCTGCCCTTTTGGGTGGTGAAGAAAGTCACACAGTTCCCCAGAAGCAGCTGCAGTGCCCTGACCTCTGTAGATTTCCTCTCATTGCTGCAAGCTTGTGTACTGCTCTCCAAAAGTTATCCAGTGCCCAGGTCACCTCAGATGCTTTGCCTAAAACACTCTGGTTTCCCTGTCAGACCACTGGGTGTTGGCAAAATGACCTCCAGCATGGTTCTTGGAAGGTACAGACATGATCCAAATGCCAGCCCTCCCCACCCAGAGGCATGAACCAGGAAATGCAGGTGGTGGCCTCATTTACCACCGGTCAGGCCCTTTGCATCGTCTCTGAGAGTGGCAAATTTATCTGATGTCCCCTTTGTATAGGGAGAGCAAGTTTGGTCGGCATTACTGGTGTGGGAAGATAGGGCTAAGAGTTGTTTTTAAGATGAACTAGGCTGGGCACTAGTGCCTGTAATTCCAGCACTTTGGGAGGCCGAGGCGGGCGGATCACGAAGTCAGGAGATCGACACCATCCCGGCTAACACAGTGAAATCCCGTCTCTACTAAAAATACAAAAATTTAGCCGGGCGTGGTGGCGGGTGCCTGTAGTCCCAGCTACTCAGGAGGCTGAGGCAGGATAATGCCGTGAACCTGGGAGGTGGAGTTTGCAGTGAGCTGAGATTGTGCCACTGCACTCCAGCCTGGGTGACAGCGAGACTCTGTCGCAAAAAAAAAAAAAAAAAAAAAGAAAGAAAGAAAGATGAACTAACCAGAGAAGCTCATTCTAGCCAGGACTTACTCATTCTTAACGTCCTACTGTGTGCCAGGCGTTGTCCTAGGTGCTGAACCAAATGGCCACTGAAAAGGAGTCTCTACTCTCATAACTACAATCTTGTTTTCATAATCTCACCTTTTATGATCTCATCTGATCCTAATCACAACCTATGAGGCAGTTCTTACTCCTACTGCCATTTGACAGATGAGAAAACTGAGTCCCAGAGAATTATCTTGTCCAACATCTGTTGCTAAAGTAATAAGAGGCAAGACCAGCATTCAACTGCATTTCCACCGACTGACTGCTATCTACTATATGCTGCCACCCAATTAAGCACAAAATCCAGATTGTCCTTTTGGTACTCCCTTCTAGGGACTGGGATTAGCTTCTCTTAGTGCTTCGGATGCATTTGGTAATCACCGTCCTAAAACCATCCCTGTTGCCTCTCATCCTCACGGCTGACACATCTTGCTGCTCACTGCAATAGGAACGCAAGTCCACAGCTATGCAGAACCCGCCACAGTGCACTGGCTCATTAGCAACTATTAAAACATGTCTCCACTGACATATCTGTCTCAATCTCTATCTCTGCTCTGAAATTGCATCTGCGGCTGGATGCAACAGCCTGACATCTGGGACATCCAGATGTGGAAAAGGCCATGTGGATGAGCGATCCCATCCACCCAGCTTTCCATGGAGTCCACCCAGTGGAAATTGGCCTTCGCCAAAGCTCAGGGCTGAAGCCGGAAGCCCTGCTGCTTCTCCTACACAGGGGAGGCCAGCAAAGAGAATCCAAAAAGCTGGTTTTGTTATGAATTTTCCTCATTTGGCCATATCCCCGGGTGAACCATTCAGAGTTGAATGCTAGAGATTCAAACAGTCTGTTTTGGAGAGGAACATCTGGTTCATTTGCACTCTTAGCAGTAGCAACACCAGCCAGTATCCTTTCTGCTGCTATAATGGCAGGGCAGCTTGACAGGAGAAGAGAGGGGCCAGAGGGAGGCTGTCACTGCTCAGTCCTCCTGAGCCATCCATGTCATCTGTCTCCAGGCGTTTGCCCACAGTGTGCCTCCTGTCTGGGATACCTTCCCTGTATCCCTGCCACATGCTTAAATCCTGCCTCCTCCTTCAAGCTCTCAGCTCCTGCAGGCTCTGCCTCTGTCATGCTAGCCCTGCCCCCACCACTCTCCTCTGTTGGTAGCATTGCTTCCCTATTGCCATTTTGTGCACAAGAAGTACCTGGAGAGTCTCATTTGTGTCACTAAAGCTCACAAAGGACTTGCCAAAGAGAGGCAACGCTTAGGAGCAAAGTGAAGCTAGAACCCAAGTCTGCTTCTTCCCTGCCTATATCTTCCTGGACTAAGTTGGTCTGTGACTCATTTTCTCCATCTGCCGGTGGAGATGACATGCCTGTCTCCTGCCTGGCAACCTGGGCTGGGATTTTGTTCTGGATAGAGTTCGTTATTACATTGTAGAGGTCATGTTACAACTTTTGGCTTAAGTTGGGGGACCCAGGAGCTCCCTCGTGCCTCAGCTGTGTCTGAAAGCATATGTTTGGCTCTCTTCCAGTTCTGGCAATGTGGCCAGTGGGTGGAAGTGGTGATTGATGACCACCTACCTGTCCAGGGAGATAAGTGCCTCTTTGTGCGTCCTCGCCACAAAAACCAAGAGTTCTGGCCCTGCCTGCTGGAGAAAGCCTATGCCAAGTAAGTACAACCCTGCCACCCATCAGCCCAGAGTCTCAGTGCTGGTCCTGCCTACCTGGAATGCAAACAGTCCCCATTGGAGCATTGCAGCCTTTGCCACCTGGCTGGGCGTCTCCATAAACAGTCACCACGTGCAAAGGTCAGTGTTGGGGCCATCAGGAGGATCCCACAGGCACATAGTGAAGAGTGGGCAGGGCAGGAGCTGGACAGAGATATGTATTGACAATGATATTATTGCAAGGCTGGTATCAGGGCCCAAAGAAATATATTTAATAATATCACGGTCAAAGTCTGACGAGAGGGCAGAGGAGAGAGTAAACAATTCTGACTCTCTGACTCACAGAAAGTCAGGCTGAGGCTGTGTGGAAGTGATGGCATTTGAGTGAGGCCTCAAAGGATGGGCAGGATTTCAGCAAGGGGAGAGGGGATAGGTGGGAGGAGGTATCTCTAACAATGGGAGTGATTCAAATAAAGCCATCCTTGGGGTGGTCCAGGCAGTTGGGCACCCGGTGTGGCTGCTATGAGGTGGCATTTATGTGTGGGTGTGGGGCAGGACATGCTCATTCTCATATGGTCAAAATACCATGACTTAGGGACTGCCTTTCGGTGCTGACAAGCTTAAGAACTTATAAACATCCCAATTCACATGTTGTGCTTAGATTCTTTGGGTTGCTTTTATTCAACAGATGTTTATTGAGCATTTAACCATATGCCAGGCACTGTGCTTGGCACTGGGACAGACGCTCTCAGACTGACTCAAGTGGATGTGTGCAGGACTGCGGATGGGGGAGGTGCACATGTGTGTGTGAGGAAGAGGGCCCTGTCCTAAACACCCACAGAGGTGATGAAGATACACTCAAACTTTCCGTCATCAACACAATGTAAACACGAAGAGTAATGACACATCCGTCTCCTCCTATGAGACTGCAACAGCTGGAGAATGCCAAGTGCTCGCCAGCATGTGGGGATCCAGGACCCTCCAGCAGCACAGGAGGGAGTGTGCACCCAGGCAGCCTCTGAAGGACAACCCGACAATACTTCGCTTCGCTACACGCACTTCTCACACCCAATAGGGACACTCCTAGGGGCCCTTAAGGGGACACATCTGAGGATGTTCTTGACTGCCACGAGGATGGTATGGAGTATCCATCACTGAGGTCAGTGGGTACAATGGATGGACACACTTCATGGAGAGCCATGCAGCAGTCAGAAGCCACAGATCCCATCTGTGCACGGTGACCGGGATGGTTCTGGGAGGCAGGGTCCTCGCGGTCCCCTAGAAGTGTCCTTAGTGGGTGTGAGACGTGCATGGAGCCAAGATAAGTATTGTCAGGTTGTCCTTCAGAGGCTGCCTGTATGCACACTCCCTCCTGTGCTATTTGGGGGTTCCTGGATCCCCATATCCTGGCAAACACTTGGCACTCTCCAGCTTTCTGGCTTTTGCAAATGAGGTAAGAGGCTCTAAGCAATCCCATGCACTGTTATTTATGGAAATGGAAACTCTGTGCCCTGCAATTCTCATTTCACAAGAACACATACGAACAAAAGGTGCACATTCCACATCCTGAAGTGCTTGTCTTGGGGTGGAGGAGAAAAAGAATGTGGATAGAAGGAAGGAAGAAGGAAGAAAAGAAAAAAGAGAAAATTCATGAAATGAAATGAAACAAATAAATTTTAAAAAAAAAGAGCAAGACCTCGCAGTGACGATATTATGAAGGGGGAAAGCGGCACACCTGGAAATAGGACAGGAAGGTACGCAGAGTTCCAAGGGCCGGGACTGTCATGGGGCCGGTCCCCAGGGCCTGGAGAAAGGCTCTGGCATTGGTTTTGCTGCAGCTGCTGTGGCTTCTGCTCTGCTCTGCTCCTCTCTGCAGCTGGCCTGCTCCTCCTACTACCACCCAGGTGCCTGTCTTTGCTGTGCATCTTCCTCTGCTGCCTCCTTGCTCCGACTTTCTAAGGACCCCTGCTTCCTCTGAACTCCTCATCAGGCCGCCTAGCCTTGTGCCTCTGTCTTTACCTTCTGCTACTTTCTACCCAATTCCCCGCCCAGTACCTGATTCCAATCCAGAGAGTTGGAGTCTTATTGGTCAAGCCTGGGTCAGGACCCCATCGGTCCAATCGGCCATGACCTGGGTCAAGTGGCTACAAAGGGGCACGAGCTGGGGAGGGGACACTTGCCCTCAGAAGAGGCTGTGTGTGAGGCAGGCACCGTGAAGAGGCGAGGGAAGTGTCAGAGCTGGGTATCACTGCTAGCAGAGGAAAGCAGAGAGGACCACACCCTTGAGGAGAAAATGAGTGGACAGCATCACAGATCCAGAAAATTCTGGAGATCATCCTAACCAGCCTCTCGGCCCACACATGGAGAAGCTGAGTCTCCGAATTGTGATGGGGTGGTAGGTGCACGTAGTTAAGCTGGGCCTGCCGGGTCTTTACTCACCTGACCAGGGGACATCATTATCTTCCCCATCCGTTCTGCACCCTTGCCGAGTGCAGTCCTGGGCCCTAGAGGTGGTGATAGCCCCACAGTCCACCCCACTCCCGGTCCTCCTGGAAGTCACAGTCCAAACAGCGAGGTGCCTCAAGACCTCTTTTTGTGCATTCTTTCTTTTTGAGGCAAACTTGTGAAAAACTATAGTTTTTGTTCATTTCCAGTGTCAGAAAGAGCTGCTCATTAGCATTTGAGAATGAAGCCCAGATAACAGCCAAGGTTGTTGAACCAATCCACATGTTTGGGAGGTTAATTCACTTCTAAGCTACTTATGAAAACACTGCCATTATCTTTTCAATACGGATTCAGCCCTCCTCTCTTCAGGGCCTCGTTTTATCCTTATGTAAAAACAGGGAGACCAGTGGTTCCCTGTGAGAATTAGAAAGCTTGCAGAAGGAAATGATGACTTTGACCCCATTTTGTTAACAGATGACCTAAAGCAATCATTCAGCTTGAAAACAAATAGGAACATGGACGTGGCATCCGCATTCCACTGCTTAAAGAAATCTAGCAGAGGATAAAATGTCTCAAACTATTAAAGCTGTTTAAAAGCTTCCCACCCCTCACTATCCAAAAAAGGAAGCTCTAAAATGCAGGGGTGAATCACATAGACTTACAGTGTTTCAGAGCCAGAAAGGACGTCTGTCAGCATCAAACCCCACCTTCTTTGAAAGATGAGGAAACTGAGGCTCAGTGAGGTGAAATGACTGGCCCAAGATCACACTCAGATGAGGATGGAGTGAGCACGTTTTTCCCTAGTCACTACTTCCCATGCCTTCCCACCATCCCTGACATTGTCAGTCCTACAGGAAAATGATTTGTCTTTTTGCTGCTTGTGGAGCTCAGTGTCTGGCACACGAGGACCACAGCCTAAACGTAGAGAGCCCATCTGTCCAGATGGAGATGGACCTCTTCCCTCCAACAGTGCAGGCAACAGCCCAGTGAACACATGGACTCCAAACTTTCTATTCTCCTTGCAGCTGGGGAGTCTGGAAATTAATTGGTCAAATCAAATGAAAACCATAGTTAGGGTTTCGTTTTCCCCAGAGGTCGTGAAATAAGAGAGGAGACTGAGGGACGAGAGCTGGTAGGCTGCTTACCATCCTTTATAGACTCTTTACAGCGTTTCAGCATCTGCTCCGGCTCTATCTGAATGCTTTCCTCTTTCATATGATTGCCGGGCAGAAAGACATTTCCCCCAAATGAGGCTGAAGCAGAGCGATGGGGACAAGGTTGTCTCAGAATTCCTGGTTCAGGTGATGAGGAATAGTGGTGGCTGCGGTGAACACAGTTCTCTCTCTCCTTTCTACTTCCTGTCAGCAAAGGGGGCTAAGAATAGTTGCCATGTTCCTGAACATCAGCAGGATCCGTGAGCTCATGTTTAGAAAGCAGAAAGATAGTTCCTTGTCAAAACACCCAGCTGCTGCTGGGACAGGTTTCATGGGCATTGTGGATGCGTAGTAAGAGAAAGCTTCAGAAGACACCAAGGGCTCTGGCCGTGAGTGGCAGGGGGTGCCTCTGGTTGTCTTGGGTGACTCCGAGATGACTGCCGGATGCCGTGGGTGCAGGACGTCAGATGGGGCCCAGAGGCGGTGAAACAGTGAAGTGAGGGAGGGGCCAGGCCCCACCACGGCTTTTCTGGAGAGCTGTTCTTTAGCACAGCCCTGTTTGAAGCCAGGAAAGGCGCCGTGAGCATATCACCAGGAAAGGGCTGTTGCAAAGAGCAGGAGGTCGCACTGGTGGGGAACGGATTCCCAAACCCCAGTCCTTGTGAATTTCCAGCACACTCAGCCATGCCCTGGTCGATGGAACAGGAGCCAGAACCCACGTGGGACAGCGAGGGATTCCAGAGCTCAGCCCCAACCAGGCACACTCACCACCAAAGAAAACTCTACAGTTGACTGAGCAAATGCTCCAGAGAGAAGACTCTAGACCCTGGGTCAGAGAGAGGGAGAGAAGGAGGATAAGGTTTAGAACCAGTTTTAAAACAAGATTAATCTGTCACATGGGGGCTCCTGTAGAGATGCCCCTTCATTCTGGAAATCCTCAGCTTTCTTTAATAAAAGGCTTTCTAAGCCATTCCTTCTAAGCATTCGTGCCTAGGGCAGTGTCCTGCTGATAGTGACTGCTTGATACATACGTATTTGCTGAAGTGAATCTACTGGAATTCTGTGTGATCCCCAGGAGGAGAGAATGTCAGAGGTGGAAACAGTGAGAAAGGAGTGTAGAGGGCTGATCCAGTCCACCCTGCAGCTTCCAGATAAAAGGCCAAGGACAGGGAGGGGAAGGGTCTTGTCCAGGGTGGAAGAGCCAATTGGGGGCAGCAGGACGGACCCAGGCCCTGATCCATGGGTGATTTTGCATTACCAGAACAAAAGCTGCAGCAAGGACTTCCTCCACTGCCTACTGCCCTGCGAAGGGCTCGGCCTCTGCCTGCCCACTGGGGACAGGAACGCGTAGGTCCCTGGCGAGAGTGACAGAGGCAGCAGTGAGTGTGGCTGCTGCTGGGCGTCTTTGATGCCAGGGTCTCCTGCCTGATCTGGCCTCAGTTCCACATCCTTTGTGAGCTTGCCCTGCCTAAATTTCAAAATTCCATGGAACCCTTCCAATTCACCCCATGGATGGGAGCTGAAGTTCTCAAAACACATCTGACTGTCTGGCCGCTGCGTGAGAGGTTCCATTGTGACTGATCAGGCCACCCTCTCTCCTGGGGAACAGTAGGCCTCTTGGGTCTGGCCCTGCCCATCTCCCAGAAACAGAAACGCCATGGGGGGCGGTGGAGGTGGCGTGGCAGGAAGAGATGCTTTGGAGAAGGGGGTGAGGGTTTTAAGCTTTTGGGTTATGTTACGTAAGACTCATCCTTACCTATGTTACCTTTAGTTAAGCCAGTGATCTCCCTCATAATCTGGGGGTGAGTGGGTAATTCTGGGGATGGGAATTCTGGATCAGGGTTTGCAGAGTGAGAACAGCGGCTCCCAATGACCACTGCCAGCATCAGGGTATAGCTGTGAGCTCTTAGAGGGCAAGAACGGGGTTTTTAAACACATGCCTCTCATAGTCCCTGGCCCACAGTCAGTACTTCACACTGCTGTTAAACTGAATGGGAAGCAGGAGATACTCAACGTAGTAATATCCAGTACTCGTTAAGGGATGACCACGTGCCAGGCACTATGTGGAACATAGCCCCATGAGGCTCCTTAATGTGTCCAAGGTCAAGCAGCCAAATTTGTGGCAAAGGTAGGGTTCAACCCCTGGCCTGTGGCTCTAGCACAGGCACACCCAGCCTGTCATCAGTGCTGCCACTTATGGGACCGTGCAGGCCTAGGGGACCAGGGCAGGAAGGTACAGAGGACGGTAGGAGCCCCTGGAGCAGCAGACAGTGCTAGAATCTCCATCCAGGCAAATGGGAGGTAGATGGCCATGGTCAGGAGTGGACCAGGCAGCCTCTCACCTGGGAAATAGGCAGAGGGTCAGTGCACAAGTTCCCCTCCCGGAGCATTTCACCAAAGGCACCACGATGGTTCATCCCCCGTTCCCCTCCCAGGCTGCTCGGATCCTATTCCGATCTGCACTATGGCTTCCTCGAGGATGCCCTGGTGGACCTCACGGGAGGCGTGATCACCAACATCCATCTGCACTCCTCCCCTGTGGACCTGGTGAAGGCAGTGAAGACAGCGATCAAGGCAGGCTCCCTGATTACCTGTGCCACTCCAAGTGAGGTAAGTCAACGGGGAGCCCTTTTGCACCAGTTCAAGCCTTTCCTCAGCCAGGAATGCTCAGCCAGGGGCCCATTCAGCTAAGAAGGGTATGGCAAGCTGCCACCATTAACGAACACTGACAGTGTGCATTACCTGGGTCACCTCATTGAACCCTGCAGTAGCCTGCCTCTAAGACAGAAATTGCAGAATTCACTTCACAGAAGAGAAAGCAGGCTCAGAGAGGCTGCCTAAGGTGCTCACCATCACACAGCTCAGAAGTGGCTGGAAAAGGCTTCCAGTGCTGCTGCCCCAGAGCCTGGACCTACTGCTACAGCTCCCAGGCAACCAGTGGGTTTTACTATGCACTGGAGAAGGCGGCTGCAGCTCCTGCCACTGTGGACCACTCCTTTGTATTTTGCCTTAAGTTTACACAGAGTCCCCCGGGGCCCTCTGATGCTCACTGGCTCTAATGGCAGTACCCAAAGGCAGCATGATTCATTTTGAAAAGCTTGAGTGACCCTCCAAATTATTTGAGTCTGTTCTGAGACATCTGGTTTCTATCTGCGGGGATGCTTCCTTCATCTTGAAACATACGGACTTTGAGTCACACATCGCTAATCCAAAATGCCACCAGAAGCCCAAGATGCACTTTAAACCCCAGTTACTCCCAATGTGGGTGTCAAGTGATTCCTGCCTCCTGCAAATGTCCCAGCAGACATATTTGTGCCGTGTCTCACTGATGACATGTGGTTGGTGGAGAGAGTAACCCAGGCCCTCAGGACTCCATGGGGTTCCTTCCATCACTCATGGGGGTGGTTCCCTGAGGCATGAAATCCCTGGGGCCTCAGATAACCAATGGCCTTCCAACTCTGCCACTCTAGAAAAGAGTTCCAGGCCATCTATCAGTTCCAAGTGAGTCAGTGGGACCCAGATGGCTCAGCGGCTGTTTGGACTGTGTTTTTCTATTTCTTTGAAGAACCTGTAGATGTCTAATGCTTGGTCTGCTTTTCTGCTTTGAAGTCAACAGATACAGCACAGGCGATGGAGAATGGGCTGGTGAGTCTGCACGCCTACACCGTGACTGGGGCCGAGCAGGTAAGGCTGGCTGCTGGCCTGTCCAGCTCTCCCCTGGCCTCTGCCCCAGCATTCCTGTTCCTTTCAATAGGGGCCAGAATCACATGAAAGGCCAACAAAGATGAAATGAGGATTTATCACCCTTGCCCCCATCATGACATGTACCATGGACAGCCTCAGCTCCTTCTGTTCATCCAGAAGTTCTGACTCCCACTGTCTTCCTTTCCAGGAATCCACCAGAGACCTTGCTGATCTCAGACAGCTCTGAGTGTCTATCTAAACTGGGAGATTAGCCCCAAAGGAGGTAGAATGAACTACCCAGTTGACTCCAAGGGGGAAGTTTTGCCCTGAAAGGGGTTTTATTTGTTACATGCAAGCTAAATTGCTATAACAAAGATACTCCAAAATATAGGGTCTTAAGACAAAGTACATTTCTCTCTCAGGTAAGCAGGTGATGCCAGGACTAGTAGGTGGCTCTGGCATCTCCACATGGGGCTTCCACCCATGAGCCCAAGACAGCTGCTCTAATCCCTCATCTCCCAGCCAGAGGAGAGAAAGAGGCCAAGGGACACTCATATATCCATATAGAAGGCATGAATTGGAAGAGGCATGCATCATTTCTCTCACATCCCATTAGTCTAAGCTTAATTATGTGACCACACCAAGGCCAAGGGGGGCTGGGACGTACACTGTAGGCCCAGATAAAACTTTATTCTCATGGAAGAGGGGGAGGTTGGCACTGGAGGACAATCATGCTCCTCAATGGAAAAATTGACTCTGGCTGGACAAAAATGTATGTAATCACTGTGTGCAGTATAATTTGGCCTGGAAAACACTACTGAAGTCCAACTTTCTCCGTTCATAAAGAAAGAAGCTGGGTCCTGATAGGAAAGATGTCTTTCACGAGGTTAGACAGATGGCACCTGGGAGATAGCTGGCCTGGACACTCTGTCTCTTTAGTGTCTGTCTACACTTGTCACCACACTTGCGGTGACAGCACTTCCTGGCCATGGGATGGTTTCCTGCAAGTGTTCCTCGGTCTCTGTAGTTCCCACAACACTTGAGGTCTAATAATGTCTTCTAAGCCCTAAGAGACCGAGTTCCAAACTCTAGGGCATATCATTTCTCCCAGGACTTTATGGACCGAGGACTGCAGAGCATCAGGCTCTATGTGTGGCTTTCTCATACTTGCCTGGCCTCTCCTCCTTTCCCACATGTCCTTCCTCTCTCTATCCATCTGTCTCTCTTGTCCATGGACCTGAGGCCAGTTGTTCCATTGTTTCACATTTTGATCATTGTCCCAATCATAAAACCAAGACAATATCTCCTGTCTCTAATGAATGCTTTTTGTACAACAGGTAATTGTCCAAAATTGACCTTGGCACTTCCAGATTCATGGAAAGAGAGCTATTATCAATTAGTAATATCTATTTGGGGCATGAGATGAGGAAGGCAGGTACCTTTGCAATGTATTTGCCATTCTTGGACAAGATCCTTTTTATACATTGAGATAGCCTTTGTTTCTGCTCTGAACACAGAGGAGAAGGGACTCGTGTACCCAGAGGTCCAGATGACCTTAGAGCATGAGTCCCCGCAGAGGCTGGCTGTGGAGATGGCAGTGACTGCTGGGTTGCAGAGCAGCTCTGTGAACATCTAGGGTGACAGAGGGGAACTCGGGAGTCCAAGTGCTGTCTCAGCTGCAGTTTGGGCTCCTGATCATGACACCCACAGCTCGAACATTTGTGCCCCCATAGGGTACACTTGGAATTGTTTTAATAATATACTGAGTGGTCTAAACAGAACACCTCCCCTGGGAAGATAGGTGATCAAGACCGCATGTCCTGTGTAATCCATCCCTGCTCCACCATTCCATGCTGCTGACACTTCACAGAACATGTTCTAAGAAGCACTAGCCTCTGTGAAAATGGGTTTCCAAATACATTTGGAAAATGCCACTCACTATATCCCCTCCTTGGCGATTCAGAGTGTACATTTGCATTTTAAAGACTCCAAGAGGCCTGTATGAGCAGTGCAAGCCCTGCTGGTTTTTATTGTACCATTAGCCACAAAACCATTTTTGCTAGGAATAACTATTAATGGCCAATGGAACTGGCATTCAGGATAATTCATTTGAGGAAGTACTATTGCAGGGTAGATAACTTGGGTTACCTCCTGCCCAGTAGCACCTTTCCTGAGTGCTGAGCAGGGTCAGAGGCAGAGTCAGTGGCCAGGGAGTGAAGAAGCACGTGGCCGGCCCATTCTCAGGTGTAGCCATGGCCTTGGCCTCGAGTGTGACCCCTGCACCCCCAGACCAAGGCCCATGCCAGCACGAATGGGTCACTGCCATAAAGGAGGGACACAACCAAGAACTTGAGTTGGTTAAAGACTCCTCCTCCAGAGAGAGAAGGTTATAACTCTGAACCACAAGTGCTAAGATTAAAGCAGCCCATAAATGTGGCATACTTTTTAATCTGCTCATCCTCCCTCTAGGCAGGACACAGACAGGAAGATAAATGAAATTGGCATTTTTTATTATGCACTTAGCTCAGTTGGCGATTCCCTTGGGCAAAGGGGTGAGTGTTTATCTGCATGCCTCACTTAGCCCTGCTTCCAGCCCCTTTGAATCGCAGGTTGATTTTCTCCCCCATGCCCACCGGAGCCCCTGAGTATCCATGAGACACTAAGCATGGCTCATTAAGCTATTTGGGGCACCAGGTGACCATTTCTTGTGTCCTTGCTCCATGGGCTCTGTCAGGTGCTGGGAGTTAACAGTAAACTGTGTGCAAGGCTTGGGGTGCCTCAGGGTAGGGCAGATGGGGTGGGAAAGCTGGGTTTGTGCTTCTTGGAGGCATTGAAAGTGAGAGCCCCTTCTGCTGAGGTACTGGCCAGGGAGCGGCGCAGACAAGGGAAGCAACAGAAAACAGCCTTTTCCGAGCCAGGCTCCTGGGCCCGTGTGTGACTGTACGGCTCCTGCACAGCAATGCCCCACTGGTGAGCATGGGCATTGACCAGGTGGCTCAAGGGTCACAGTCGAGGCCAAGGGCACAGCTACATCCAAGAACGGACCTTTACTCTTGCCCAATTCCAAAACTAGGAGCCGGGACTTTGGAAACTGACCATGGCTAGATTGGAATTCTGCCTCTGCCGCTGTCTTAGCAATCTTGAGAAAGGTGCTTAGCTTCTCCCGTGCTGTTTCCTTAGCACACGTTAGCCGGTACCTAGCTCTGAGCCCTGCCTCCACCTGCGGCTTCTCTTCCACACAGTGATAGTCTGTTCTATCCAGAGTGTTGTCCTTCTTCTCTGACCAAGAATCAGGGAGCAAGTTTGCCCCTTTCCTCACCCCTCTGGGCTTCTGTCTCCTCAGACAACATTAGCACAGATCGATATCACAGCTACAGCTCAATCATATTTTAATTCCTCTCGCCACGCTGAGGGCTGCTGGCTCCCGGGGATGCAGGTTCAAGGGTTGGCTGCTGTGTTGTCATTTTCTCACAGTTCTGCCCCCTGGCTTAAGTGGTGTGAGGGAGCAAAGGGGTAGACCTCCTTATCTGAAGTGCGGTGAGGATGAGTAACCCCAGACAGGGGGCAAGGAGAGAAGAAAGGAAGGAGGAAAGGAGGGAGAGAGAGATGAGGGAAGGCAGGGGGTAAAGAAGGAAGGGAGGGATGGAGGGAGGAGAAAAACGAGGGAGGGAGGAAACAAGATAAGAAGGAAGGGGAAGAGAGAGGAAGGAAGAGACAGGAAGAGAGGAAGGGAGGGAGGGAGGAAGGGAGGGAGAGAGAAAAGGAAGGAAGGAAGGAAGAGAGGGAGGGAGGGAAGGAAGAGAGGGAGGGAGGGAAGGAGAGATGGAGGGAGGGAAGAAAGGAGGAAAAAATAGGAGCAGGGAAGGGTAAAAGGATAGGAGCAGGGGAGGGAGAAAGGAAAGAAACAGAAGGAGGGAAGAAAGAAAGGGAGGGAGGGAGGAAAAGGAAGGAAAGAAGGGAAGATGAGAGGGAGTAAGGGAAAGAAGGAGGGTAGTAAGGGAGTGAAGGAAGAAGGGAGGGAGAAAGGGAAAGAAGGAAGGAAGGGAGAGAAGAAGGAAAGGGGAGCGAGGGAGGGAGGGAGGGAGGAAAGGAAAGGGAGGGAGGAAAGGAGGGAGAGAGAGAGGAAGGAAGGAAGGAAGGGAGGGAGGGAGCCGGGACTTTGGAAACTGACCATGGCTAGATTGGAATTCTGCCTCTGCCGCTGTCTTAGCAATCTTGAGAAAGGTGCTTAGCTTCTCCCGTGCTGTTTCCTTAGCACACGTTAGCCGGTACCTAGCTCTGAGCCCTGCCTCCACCTGCGGCTTCTCTTCCACACAGTGATAGTCTGTTCTATCCAGAGTGTTGTCCTTCTTCTCTGACCAAGAATCAGGGAGCAAGTTTGCCCCTTTCCTCACCCCTCTGGGCTTCTGTCTCCTCAGACAACATTAGCACAGATCGATATCACAGCTACAGCTCAATCATATTTTAATTCCTCTCGCCACGCTGAGGGCTGCTGGCTCCCGGGGATGCAGGTTCAAGGGTTGGCTGCTGTGTTGTCATTTTCTCACAGTTCTGCCCCCTGGCTTAAGTGGTGTGAGGGAGCAAAGGGGTAGACCTCCTTATCTGAAGTGCGGTGAGGATGAGTAACCCCAGACAGGGGGCAAGGAGAGAAGAAAGGAAGGAGGAAAGGAGGAGAGAGAGATGAGGGAAGGCAGGGGGTAAAGAAGGAAGGGAGGGATGGAGGGAGGAGAAAAACGAGGGAGGGAGGAAACAAGATAAGAAGGAAGGGGAAGAGAGAGGAAGGAAGAGACAGGAAGAGAGGAAGGGAGGGAGGGAGGAAGGGAGGGAGAGAGAAAAGGAAGGAAGGAAGGAAGAGAGGGAGGGAGGGAAGGAAGAGAGGGAGGGAGGGAAGGAGAGATGGAGGGAGGGAAGAAAGGAGGAAAAAATAGGAGCAGGGAAGGGTAAAAGGATAGGAGCAGGGGAGGGAGAAAGGAAAGAAACAGAAGGAGGGAAGAAAGAAAGGGAGGGAGGGAGGAAAAGGAAGGAAAGAAGGGAAGATGAGAGGGAGTAAGGGAAAGAAGGAGGGTAGTAAGGGAGTGAAGGAAGAAGGGAGGGAGAAAGGGAAAGAAGGAAGGAAGGGAGAGAAGAAGGAAAGGGGAGCGAGGGAAAGGGAGGGAGGAAAGGAAAGGGAGGGAGGAAAGGAGGGAGAGAGAGAGGAAGGAAGGAAGGAAGGAAGGGAGGGAGGGAGGAAGGGAGGGAGGAAGGGAGGGAAGGAGGGAAAGTTCAGGCCATTGTTGGCCATCTTCTCTCAGACTGAGGTATCTCATCAGCTCCGGGATGCAGGATGAGGAGGGCTAGCCCTGGCTATCTTGGTTCACAGGCCATCTCAGTCTTGCTCAAATCTGCCTCCTCTACCCTCCTCACTCACGACAGTGCTGTTGAGACTGCTCCATAGCTCCCACTGGGCTGCCGGCAGAGAATGAGGCTGTGTCTGTGGAACAGAGATGCCATCCATGACAGGGCTTGGAGGAGGCTGGGGACCCGTAAAGTTGTCCTCTGCAGCCCAAAGCAACATCCCCTGCTGTTTATCTGCTATTAAATCTCAACTCACTCAGGTTCTGGGATGCAGTCTTAAGGAATGATAAAGTTGCATCTGCCCTTGCGAGGGGCTGAGCGGAATGAGGGGCCATTTCCTCGTCTATCTCCTTCCAACGCCGTGCAGGCAGTAGAGAGACATTGATTTTTTTTCCTTTCAATTTTTTCTGGTTGCAGCCAAATGAGGTCAGAAGTTAAATTGGTCCTTGGAGGTAAAAAGCAGCTGCATTCATCCCCCTTTCTGCTGACTTTTGCTGTAGAGCACTGACAGTTTCCTTTTCTGTTTTCTTTACAGATTCAATACAGAAGGGGCTGGGAAGAAATTATCTCCCTGTGGAACCCCTGGGGCTGGGGTGAGACTGAATGGAGAGGGCGCTGGAGTGATGGGTATGGCTTCAGGAAACCTCTCTCCATCCTTCACAGAGCGTTTGGTGTTGGTAGAGCCTCCTGCCCATGAGACCAGGGGTTGTCTCGCCGCTGTGCATCTCACCGCAGGCCTGTCCAGCTCACACCTATACATGGTTATCTGTGCATCTCACGCTCCTGTGATGCCATCTTCCAAGCAACTATGAGGCACCTACTGTGTACACCCTGTACTAAGTGCACTGTGTTAAGCGGGTGCTGTGAGGTGTATATGGATGACAAGACCCAGTGCCCACCCTCCAGAAGGTTACAGTCCACAGCAGGGAATGCACATGCCCAGAATTAGTAAAAGAGGCAGGAGGCAGGGCAGGCAGGAGCCAAGCCCCGACTTGGCAAGACAGAGATGGAGAGAAGGAACTGCCTCCCTTGGAGGGACCCATGGAATTCTGATCCTGAGCATGTCACATTATCAGGGTGGAAAAGGCGTCCTAACCGGGGGCAGTTGGGGAAAGTGATGCAAAGATCTAGATGATGTTTTTGTCCAATCTACTCAGCTCTCCAGTCTTGCCCTGCTGCTCCGGATGCCTGTGAGTACTCGGTGCCTGGGATATAAATGATAAAGCTGCACCTCTCCACACTTAAATCAGGAGGCACAGGAGCTAAGACATCCCATGGGGGCCCAGCTGTGTGGTCAGTGCTTTCCCCAGGGAACTGGGCTGGCATTTCCCAGCTGCCAGAGGAGTGGACCCCTAGGCCGCCAGCCCCTTGCTGACTGTGAAGGAGACAGTGGTCCTGAGAGGACAGAGGGGCCGCAACAGGTTACTTGCTCCTCTGGGCAGCCAGCAAGGCTTAGCCCAGTCGCACTCCTCCAGGGGTCTGTGTCCATCCGTGAAAAGTGTGGTGACACAGCAGCTGCTGCATCGTCACCAGTGGGGCTGGGGGTGGAGAACTTGATCTGAAAGGAAGTCCAATCCGTTCAGACAAACAGGAATGGGCCCAGCACACAGTGAAATCAATACAGTGAGGACGGTGCATCCTGGAGGCTAATGTAGAGCCAGCCAGTTCTAGACCTGATGCCCCAGGCTAAGCTGTGGCAGGACCGCTCCAATCTCCCATGACCTTGGCACCCTTGGGCACTCAACCAGTGTGGGATGAAAGTATGATTGGGATGGAGGGCGAGGTAAGCAGAGATGGAAGGTGGGAGGAAACAGCACAATGAATTCCTAGAATAAACCTAACTGTGACCTCAGACGCCCCTGGGAGAATCGGGCAGTCAAACCTCCCCAGTTTCTCCTCTCTCGCCTCTATTCTTTCTTCCTTCCCAGGTGTATCCTTTGCGCTTTCCAATATAAATCCTAATAACCTCTGTCCTTTTCCAGTTCTCCTTCCCAGTCATTACTCCAAGTTGCCAAATATGGCCCAGAGTGTGACAGGATCAGCCAGCACCCCTGATTTGAGGCTGCCTGTTGGGATAGAAGTAGAGGGAAGGCAAATGACAATGACAGATTCCCTAGGGTAGAAGAAGAGGCAATATATTCGCAATTGATATTTTGCCCATGTTTCCCATGCTAAATATCAAGTGACCAGTCAAGGCAACAGAGGACACCAGGGTTTGGGGAGAGAAGCATCCCATGAGCTGGCATGTTCAGGGAAAGCTTCATGGATGGGACCGAACTTGAGTTGGCCTTGTGGTGGAGGAAGTATGACTCACTTCAGAAGAGATCACTAGATAGGAGGGGGACGCATAGGCTATGGCACCCCTCTGGGAACATCGATAGTCTTTTCAGGGCCAACAAACTGGCCTGAGGCAGAGGAAGCTGAGAGAGAGAGAGTGCTGGGAGCCAACATCAGACAGCCTGATGCCGGAAGTCTGGATTTATCCCCTACAGGCATGGGCATAAAGGAAGGCTTTTGACCATGGCCGTGATGTGTGCAGAGCAGGGACTGGGGGAGACGGATCTAGCAGCACCTGCTCTGTCGGATCACATATTGTATCTTGGCTGACTGCTGAGGGTCACCACTTTGCACCAGAAACCAGACTGGAAGGAAGTGACGGGGACTGCCTAATCACTGTCTCCAAGCAGGTGGTTGATTTCTTCCCTACTTTTTAGGAATGGAGATGGATGGAGAGAACCAGATGGTCTAATCTCAGCCATAATTGAAATTTCAGTCGCACACACTTAAAGGCAAACTTGTATGAATCGATAGCGTATTGATTTACACTACAATTATTCTCCCTTACACACTGCAGAAAATGTAATTATCGCTTAATTATAAAATTGCCATTTTACAATACCACATCTGACTGCTTCAGCCTGCAGCCGGAAGCCTGAGTGGTGGCCCCTGCCTTGCTGTCCTAGCACAGAGGGGACCCAGGCTTCCCATGCAACCTCATCCATGAGAAAGGTCTCATTGAGCTTTTGTGCCCCTGAAACCCATTGCCTACAAGCATGCCTCCCCTCTAAGGAGTGGGCTGAAGAAGGGGCAGCTGCTGCCTTCTGCTTGTGAGGGTCTCTTCCTCATCAGAGACCCAAGGACTGGCTTCTGGAACATATCGTTCCAACGAAGTGGGCAGCATTAATTAATTAAACAAACAAAAAATCACTGTGTGCTATTAGGCATGCAATTACTTTTGTACCCACCTAATACATGCCAAGGCATGGGCAAAACACCTGCGATGATAGGATGGCCAGCCAGGCTCAGCAATCTCATGGCTCTGGGAGTCTAGTGAGACATAGCAACCAATACACAAAGTAACAGTAACACAGCAGACTATGGAAGCTCAAAAGACCTGGAACAGAGGGCAGTTGGGGGCCAAGCAGGGCTTCCCAGAGGCAATGCCCTTTAAGAGGAAAGATGAGTAAGGGCAGGTTACAGAACTAAAAGGAGGAAGAGGGCGCCAGGTGCAGCGAGCATCAGGGTGAAAGTTGGGGGTGCAGGGGGTGTTTTAAGGAAATGAAGGCACTATTGCTGGAGAATAGAATTCAAGAGTGGAGGTAAGGTGAGGAAGCAAGAAACTGGTAACATCAGAGAGGGTGGCAGAGGCCGAGGTTCTCTTTAAGGAGTGTGAACTTTACCTTGAGAATAATATGGAACCACTGATAGGTTTTAAGCAGGGAAATAATATAATCAAGTTTACATTTTAGAAAGATCATTTCAATGGCAGTGTGAGGAATGGATGGGAAAGTGGGCAGAACTGAGTTCAGGGAGACCAGGTGGACATCCAGAGGGAAGGGCAGGGAGCCTGAACTGGGGTAACGGCAGGAGGGATGGAAATAAGTGCCTGGCTTTGAGAGGGGTTTAAGAAGTAGGATCAATTAATGAATGCTATTTGATGATTGTTTGGATGTGTGGGTGTGACAGAGGGACTCCTTATGTTCTCACTCAGACAATAGGAGGTGGCAGAGGATGGGTATGGTCAGGGACAGGTTGATTTGGGGTCACTATGGGACTCTGTTGGAGATGTGGGGTGAACTGCAACATAAATCCATCTAGACCTCAGGAAAGAAGACCAGGCTGGGGACAGATGTTTGGAAGTCATCAACAGGTAGAGAATAACTGGGTCCTGTCCTAGGTGGAATGACACTTGCCATGTGCTCCCCAGGAACTAATGGGGACATGTACAGAGGGTCCCTGTTGACCCACACATGGTTGAGAAAAAATGCACTGGAAAATCTCACCCCGTGGTTTGTTTGTCCATGTTCAGGTCTCAGGAGTGGGAGGAAACCCGTGACCCGCGGAAAAGCCAGCTACATAAGAAACAGGAAGATGGAGAGTTTTGGTATTTACCCTTCTTATATAACGGTGTTTTAAATCTTTAACTATTGCCCAAGTCTTCAATCCCTACCCTTTTCCCTAAACATTTATGAAGATGGAAAATAGCTTTGCAGAGACCTGTTTAGAGGGAGCCTATTTTCTCTACCAAGACACAAAAACTTTGGATGAAAAATTATTGTAGGCTCCCTCTTGGTGGGAAAGTTATTTCAGTTATGAAATGCTGAACTTTCCAGGACATTTTAATAGTAAAAGAGAATATTGGCACCAAAGGCTTGAAATCTGTGGTTTCCTGGAAGCTAGGATGCATGGTTGTCATGCCCATATCTTCTGTACCATCTTGCTGGGACCCTCGAGCTCCCTAGTTTCCTCTAGTGTGACCTCAAAAACAGCAGCAGGATGCAGACTCTGTAGCTCTGAGTGAGACATTGGCTTCATCACCCAGAAGTCACGCAGGACTAGATGTTTTGAGAACACATTCTTGGCCATATGCTCACATCTCAGAGCATGACCTGTATATTCCTCAGAGGGTTGTCTGTTTTACTGAGTGATGTATTTCAATGAAAATTAGCATGTGTGGAAAGGAGCATGGGTCTAAATAATTAAGAATCAGAGGGACAAATATCGATTAGAAGGAAATCTTTCCCAGTGTCTCTGGTTTAATCACAGTAGGAGATGGGATTTTAGGTGTGGAATCCAATTTTAGGCTGATAAAGACCTCAACAATAAATTTGGCAAAACACCCTAGGGTAAAAACAATTTTCCTAGCAGCTTAGAGAACCCAGAGCAGACAGAGACTGGCAGTCATCCCACTGACCATGAAAGGGCTCACCATTGGATCAATGCGTTAAGGAGATGGCAGTTAATGATAAAGCTTCTGCCTGGTGACAGGCAGACCCCAGAACGTGACTGTGTCCTTGCTCTCCCAGCCACTGGAGCAGAAGGACTGAAAACACAGAAGGGTGCTTGATGGTGAATGAGCCAGGTTCAGACATTGGTCTCTGGGCAGGACAGTGGCTATGCTGTAAAGTCATAGGAACCCCCACCCTGGGGACAGAACCACTAGTCACTGAGTGATGTATATCTGTTTTTAACAGGATGTCATGTCAAGATTTCCAACAGAAATTCATCTCCATGTTTATATGTAGCCAAATTCCAATTACCCTGGACCATGGAAACACACTCCACGAAGGATGGTCCCAAATAATGTTTAGGAAGCAAGTGATTCTAGGAAACACTACAGGTAATGATGACACGGGTGGTCACACTGCCCAACTGGAAACTGGCTGCCCCAGCCCAGCCCTGCCATGGCTTCAGCTCTCTCTGGCCCTTGATTCTGGGCCATGAGCCTGAAGCTGAAAGGAGGGGAGTTTGTCAGCATGAAGAGACTGTGACTGCTCCTCCAAGTAAAATGATTGCTGGTAGGGGCCAAGCAGGAGAATCGCTGATGTGATTCTCCTACAGCCCTCCATGCTGTGCCACTGTCCTTCCACTAACCCCCTCCCACTTCCTGGGAGGAGAGCAGGCTCACCACCCTCCAGTAAACATCCAGGACAAGGGGAGGGCTGCAGAAAGAACACAGAAAAAGAGTTGGGGCCTAGGTTGGACCCTTGTCTTTGCCACATACTGGCCTTGTGATGTTGGAAACATAATTGGTCACCCTGTCCTCAGCCTCCCCAACACTCAGCAGTGGAATTAGTCATACCTGTCTGTCCTTGAGCCTACAGAGCACCACCCAGACACAAGGGAGACTATCCCTGCCCTGTCTTGGCAGGTGTGTCCCTGCTGAAGTCCCACAGATAGGCGCCTCTGAGCCCGTCTTTGAGCTCCCCTGAGATGAATCTTGTTGATCATGGCCTTGGGAAAGTCACATTCCCTCCCTGTACCTCCCATTCCCTGTTTGTGGCATTGATGAGTGAAAGAGCTCCCTGTGAAGAGGAACCAGAGTGTGCTTATACATCCTTGATAAAAGAGGCTGCGTAAAGAATGCATTTGTGTGTGAGAGTGTGTTTGTTGTGTGTTTACACCCAGGGATGTGTATGCATCCCTTCCTCTGGGCACCTGCCTGTCGAGATGGTTTGTTTGAATGAGCCCATACCCCATGGTGTCCCTCTTCTTGACCTCCAGGCTCTAGTGATCTACAGAACTGCTGCTCAGAGAACCTTGTCACCAGGAGGTCTTGGGCAGAACCTCAAGAGCTGCTGAGTCACTGTTGGGCAGCAAATTTACTGATTCCTCTTCCTGAGCTACGCCTCTCTGATTATAGGGCCAAGGCCCTCTCCCCTAGATACAGTCCTTATCAATGAACTAACAAAACCTGTACATCAGGGCCGTTTTCAGTAATACCTTACAATGGAAAAAGAAAAGGGAGCCAGTGATCGAGCACCTGCATTTTAATGCACCGTCTTATCCAGTCCTCACGGCACGTCCATGCTATGATGGTCCTCTACGCCTCCCCACTCCCTTGCAGAGCTCCCCCATTGTCAGTCCAATCTTCTGATGTGTATCAATTCATCTCTATCTTGATTTATCTTCATTCTTCCATGTATTTGAATCTAATGGTTTTCACATTAGCTCGCTCTCTCTTGTTCTGGCTTTGATAAGCATGCTTGGTTAGAAGAGTACAGCAATTGCCATCTCTCTGCCTATTTTCCTGTCTCTAGTTGTGCTTGGGTGGTTCATGCCATTTCAAGGCTCTGATGGTTACCACCAATGCAAAAGCTCACTTGTAGCTGGGAACTCTGTAATTTCACTTATCATTATAAAATAGACTTTGACTTTACAGTTTAAGAAACATTTTTCACACAGTGGGGACTATACAACCTTTCCTGTGTTTAAGAGGAGGAAGCCAAGGTTTAGAAAATAAACTTGTATCTCAAGTAGTAACTGTGAGGATTAGGACCCAGGCCTTAGGTCTCCAATCCAGAGTTCACAACACAACCCCACAGAGCTCTCTGCACTGGACATGGTCCTGCCCGGGATTCCCAGTAGTGAAGCTGAGCTCTAGTAACAGCTCTATCTGATGCAGGAGGACTTCGGAATGATGCTCAATTCAACTTTTCTGTGCAAGAGCCAATGGAAGGCACCAATGTTGTCATCTGCATCACAATTGCTATCACGCCACCAAATTTGAAGGCAGAAGATGAGAAACTTCCACTCAATTTCCAAGTGATTCCGGTAAGGCAGCCTGCTTCAGGGCTTTCCCTTTTAGAAATTCAGTGTAAACCTTGAGTTGGGGAGAACAGCTTTGGCCATGCTGGGAGATTTGACTATACCACAGCCTTGGAGACAAATCCCAAAGAGGCTGTAGCATTCATCCAGTCCAAGGCTAAATGTGCAAGAAATCTGAGGCCAGAAGATGACAATCGACCATAATTACAGTGGGACTCACCTCCTGCCTGTGTCGCTTGTCAGCGTTTTCTGGGACGCTGTAGAATCTAATGCTTGCTACTCAAAAAGTGGTCTGGGCCAAGACTAGCTGTTCTAACAAAGCAGATTCTGGGCTTATTCCAGACCTTCTACATCAGAATGTTTAAGGACAGAGCCTGAAAATCTGCATTTTCATAAGCTCTCCAGAGGCTTATGCACATTAAAGTTTGAGAATCATTGGCTAAACTTTGGAAGTTGTTTGGGGTGGGGGGGAAGCTGTCTAAACTGTTCTGAGTATAAATCCAAGAGGTGTGTTTTTCTCTTATGTTTAGACCAAAGTCGAGTCATAGTTTGGTGGTTGGCATGCAAACTTCTGCTTGGCTATTCTGAGGCCAGGTTTCCCCTCCACCTAGGCTCTCTCTCCTTTCATGGTTTTGGTTTTATGAAACTTTTATTTTAGGTTTGGGGGTACATGTGAAGGTTTCTTACATAGGTAAACACGTGTCATGGGGGTTTGTTTTATAGATTATTTCATTACCCAGGTATTAAGCTCAGTACCCAGTAATCATCTTTTCTGCTCCGCTCCCTCCTCCCACCCTCCCCCCTCAAGTAGATCCCAGTGTCTGTTGTTTCCTTCTTTGTGTTCATAAGTTCTTATTATTTAGCTCCCACTTATAAATGAGAACTTGCAGTATTCGGTTTTCTGTTCCTGTGTTAGTTTGCTAAGGATAATAGCTTCCCGCTCCATCCATTTTCCCAGAAAAAAAACATGATCTCACTCTTTTGGTGGTTGCATAGTATTCCATGGTGTATATGTACCACATTTTCTTTGTCCAATCTGTCACTGATGGGCATTTAGGTTGATTCCATGTCTTTGCTATTGTGAATGGTGCTGCAGTGCACATTCACATGCATATGCCTTTATTGTAGAAAGCTTATGTTCCTCTGGGTATGTACTCAGTAATGCGATAGCTGGGGGAATTCATTTTTTAAAAATACCATTTAAAAGAAAAAAGCTACAAAAGAACATCTGATATCTCTACTCCCTGCTATTCCCCCAAACAATTCGGTGCATCCCCCAAGTCAAGTGAAGGTTCTCAAATCATACACCCCACGGCTTCTTTGCACTAATGTGGATAATTAAGATCATGTACTCATCACATGCTGGGATCCTCTCTCCTCATAATAGAGTTGAAGAAAATGAGGCCCCAAAAGGTGAAGTGACATGGTCAGAGTTAATGGCAGAGCTGAGACTGGCTTCCAGAGGTCCCCTAAGCCTTCAGTCAAACACACAAGTCACCTTTCTGAGCACCAGGGATATCAGAGGTCCTTTAGCAGACTGGGCTGGAACTTGAATTACAGTGTCTCTAGGAATGATTTCAGTTTCTGTTCACTGAGCTGAAGGCAAAATTCACAGCCTTGAGTGTCAGTGCATTTATGGACAGACAGGGCTCCTGGGTACCCAGACATGGCTGAACAGTACTGTGCATTGGCTGTGGTTCACACTAATAAGAGGGCCTCACGGTGAGAGAATATAGATCGTGTCTCTCTTACCAGAAATGCTTTGGACCAGAAGTATTTCACATTTGAGATTTGGAGGATTTTGGAATATTTGCATTATATACTTACTGATTCAACATCTCTAGTCCAAAAGCTCAAAATCCAAAATGCTCCAGTGTGCACCTCCTTTGAGTATTATGTTGGTGTTCAAAAGTTTTGGATTTTGGAGCATTTTGGATTTCAGATGTTCGGATTAAGGATGCTCAACCTGTACTTCAGAAGTACAAGCATGTTCACATTCATTGTCTCAAAAACCCAATTAGCCCCACTTTTGTAGGTGTGGAAGCTAAAGCTCAGAGAGGAATGACCTATCCAAGGTGCACCTTGGAAGTGACAGGGGCGTTTGATCCCAGGACTTAGGGTCTCAGGCCCAGGGCTCTCGGTAGGGCTTAGGAGCATGCCTTTCTGATGATACTCATGGCTCCAAAAACCACAAAGAGCAGGAAAGCTTTTGTGTTCTGCTCTCCTTGACCATATTTCCATTTCCCAATTTCAGCAATTTGGTGGAGAGACATTGCTGGAGTTTAGCAGAGTAGTTTTGAGGTGCCTCAAACCCTCTGATGCTATCAAAGAATATCTCTTAAGGATGCAGTAGTACACGGTTGTCATTTTCATCACCACCTGGTACCTGAACACTTTTTCCACCTTAGGGGAATCCTGGTGGGAGGCAGGGCCCAGCCTCCTACTGCAAGCAGCTAGAGGCCAAATATTCCCTCAACCAAGCCCTTGGATGCAAAAGTTGTAGACTTGTGACCCAGGCTTGCCCAATTAGATGCTCCCTTCATCTCCCCCTCACCCCTCATACACACACACACACACACACACACACACACACACACACACAGTCACTCAGAGCCTTGGCACTCGAGGAAATAACTAAAATAGGTGGGAACAGCTGAGGATTATTTGCTGTGTATCCTTCTTGTCTGGCCCCTGCCCACCTCTGGGCTGCATTATCTAGCATCCCATCGACTCTGTGAGCTTTCCTTCCAAGAAGCACCTTTCAGCCCACCCCAGCCTGCGTTAGTTTCCAGGGCTTTCAGACAAGAATTCCTGCTGACTCAGGTGCCTTCTAAGAGGACCCTCATCCTCAGATTCTCCAGCTCTCACCTCTGGGAAGAAAAGGCTGGAGGCAGAGGGAAAGATTTGGGAAAGGCTGAGAAGGAACTGAGGCCCCTGGTCTGCCCAGCCAGGATTGACCAGGTCAAGCACCAAAGAGGCCTACTAGAAACATCTCAGCCAACTCTTCCTTCTTCTGAGCCAAGACAGAAGCCCAGAAAAAGATCACAGCTGCCCCAGCACACACACAACTTCCGAGGCTCTGTTCACACGGGTGACCATGGGCCTTGTGTTGATTCACCCAAAGTCTTCACAGTTCAGGAACCCTACCGAGACTGTAACTACACCATTTTTAAAATGATATCAAACCCACTTCCCTACTTTTCTGCCAGAGATGTGTTACTTCTCACCATTCCCCAATTTGCTAAAAGAACACTCAGACCCAAGAGCTCCTCAGGCTTCCTGGAGATCCCAGCAGATCTTGCAAGATCCTGATTGAGTTAAACACCAAAGAACAGTTCAGACCTGGACAACTCAAATGATATGGGTTGCTTTCACAGTTCAGCTGAGAAACAGCAATGTACCTGCCAGCAGCCAGACTCTCAGAAGGCTCCAGGGCTCACATGGTGTCTGTGGCTCCAGTGCTGCCCTGCTGATATGATGATGCTCCAGCCCTGGCATGGGCCTGTGACTCCCCAGCTGCTGTGGGAGCACTGCTCTGCTTTACATCCAACTAGACCCTGATGGGGTATGAATAGGCAGGGAGAAGACAGGACAGTGAAAAGGATGAGGGTGAATGAGCCAATTCATCCTCACCTCCCTCAGAGTTCCTCCCCAAGGCCTGGACTTTCCACCTTCCTCTCAGCTCACCCTTGGCCTCCAGATAAGTCGGCCTGGGAAAACTGAAAGGTCTGTAAACATGGGTGGGGCCCAGGGTCAACAGTGGCAAAGAATCAAGCCAACTAAGGAAGACATCACCTGGTGGTGACAGGGCTTGATTGCAAAGCAAGCAGCACAGCTTGCCCTGTTCCCAACTCTGCTACTTAAACTGCTCAGCCTCAATTTCTACACCCATAAAATAGGGAGCTCAGCATCGGCTTGCAGGATTATTGTGAGTATCCAACACATTACATACAAGTGCTTTGCAAACTGTAGAGAGGCTTTTAATGGAACTGCATCCTCAGGTATTCCTTCTACTACATGAAGACTGGAACATGGGTATCTCTCCATTCACAGGCACACAGACATTCCTACAAGCATTGGGGGTGGGGGTGCAAGAACAAATTCCCATCTATTTACAGTGGTCTGATGGACTAAAAGAAGTTGACTTCTTAAGGAAGCTCCCGATGTTAGAGAGTTTACATTTGCACCAGGTTCTGTGCCATCTGCAGGCCCTGTCAAACTCTCCCCCTTCCTTCCAATGCAATCATCATTGCTGTGAAGAGTAACCACACCTTGCTGGGCCAACCAAAGAATACCTCCTCCTCTCAGACACCTCCTATTCTGCCTCAGTTTCCTTCCTCTTGCTGTTCTCTGCAACTGAGTGGGTTTCATTTCTTACAACCTCACACAGAGAATGGGTAACCAGTCATCCCAGTTCACCTCTAGGTGTGCCAAGGAACAGGCAGGCCACACAAGGAAGAGGAACATGTTCCACTTACACATTTTTTGAGGTTATCCCCATTGATCCACTCCATAAAGCTATCAGAGGAAATCGTGACACCTAGTGGATCACCAAATCAGTCCACAAGCGTGGGATGTGTGGGCTCACATCTTCAGGCTGCAAGAGCCACAGCCTTGGAAAGGGCCGTAAGTTCTACCACACTATTGGTGGTTCTCACCATGCAACTTGGAGAAGGTGCAATATTCTCCAACTCCAATGTTATCACAGATATAAGTAACGTTTGTAAAATTCATACCTAATAAATTTAGGAAGTCATGTCTGCTTACAGCTATTATGTGTCTGTTAAAACTAGTTTGTAGATTGGTCCATGAATGCTTTGTCGGATCATGAAAGTTAGAGTGCAACAGTGTTTGAAGACTCTAAGTGATGGTGTATCTTGTTTCTAATAAGAAAAATTTCTTTTGTCTTTACTTCATCTTATTAGAAAGTGATATGTCAGTGTTTAAAACAGGCTTTGTGGCAGCTGGGCGTGGTGGTTCATGCCTGTAATCCCAGCATTTTGGGAGGCCAAGGCAGGCGGATCACAAGGTCGGGAGTTCAAGACCAGCCTGGCCAGCATGGTGAAACCTCGTCTCTACTAAAAATACAAAAATTAGCCAGGCATGGTGGCATGCGCCTGTAATCCCAGCTACTCAGGAGGCTGAGGCAGGAGAATCGCTTGAACCCAGGAGGCAGAGCTTGCAGTGAGCAGAGATCATGCCACTACACTCCAGGCTGGGTGACAAAGCGAGACTCTGTCTCAAAAAAAAAACAAAACAAAAATGCTTTATGGCAGGCGTAATAGGTATAAAATAAATTCTTTAAAAGAGAGGAAGAAAAGGTGGAGGAATGCAGGGATGAAACCAATGAGCCACGCTGTTCAGTTCTGCTTGCCTTTTCGTTTGGGTCTGAGTTCCTAAAACTGCCTTTCTCCCTGTTTCCAACAGGCTGGCTCACAGGTATGGCTCAGCATCGTCCTTGCCCTGCACCTCTGCTGCCGTCCACCAGTGAAGCGTTAGGCCACTTCCAATGCCCGTGGCCTCCACGTGTTCAGTGGCTGCAAATTCAGTCTAAGTCTTACATCAGACACAGGCCTAGAATCCCCAAACAGGTTCACAAAGCAGGAGAATATTTAGCTGTCCTGGTTTGAAGCTTTGACCCTTTGAGCTGTTCTCTTGTTAACATTCAAGTGAAACCATCCTCAGGACCACGGCCTCTGTTAGAGAAGATTGATGAAGCTGGTTCCTTTTAAGATGAGAGCCTCGCATTGTAAGGGGTCCTTGGAAAAGATTTCAGCCCTCTAAGAAGTCACCAATCCTCCCGTAAGAGGAATGCTCATTGCTCTGCAATGGGGTTAGGTACATCTTGAGCGCCGGCTTGGAGAAACGCCACCATGCTTAACAGAGTCATCTGGCCCCAGGATTGGCTGAAGGCAACTTGCCATGATGAGGAGGATGGAGAAAGCAGGTGGAGTTTGGGAATACTATCCTCCAAGGCACTAGGACCTACCTGCTGGACCATGGCTGGAGAGCTCTGGCCCCCCCAAGGGGAGCGATTGGCCTGGGGGCCCAGATGGAAAGCGGGAGCAAGGATGTGGCCATCGACAAACAAGCGTGTTTCAGTCACCTCAGGACGTTCAGGGGAGCCTGCCTGTGACAGTGGTGGCCAGCCACAGAGCGGGGTCAGGCGATCTCACTATGGTCCCTGCACCAGGCTAGGTTGGGGATGGGCAGTTGAGAGAAGCACTCAGGTGCAAGGAGCCATCGCGAGGATCTCAGGCCCCAGGCTGGAGACAAAGGGAACTTAATCACAGGAAAAAGACAGGGCCATCCCTACAAGCTCAGAGTCGGCGTCTGGATGATCAGTCCGGGGTTTGTGGTGTTGTTGATGCTGGGTACTTGAGGAATGGAGCCAAGACCCCCACGTGTCCCCCACACTCACACTTCTCCTTGCACTAGCAAGTCTGTTTGAAGTCAGGAGCCTGGACAGGGCTATGAGGGGCCACAGCGGGAGCAGGACAAGATAATATGGGTAAGCAGAGACGCTTGCTCTAATTGTAGTTGAGGACACTGCCACGGGATACCTCTGATTCACTGCCCTCCCCTTGCAACCCACGATGCGCACCTCGCTTACCAGAGACGGGAATGGCTGACACTTGTGGAGAAGAACTGACTTCCATCAGTTGCTTTTGCCGCATAAGGGGAGCAGCAAGTCAGGCTCCAACCCTGCTGAGGGCTAGTTGGTTAATGTCAGCCGATGTGCATTGGAGGATGCGCACCAGCCATGCCCCTGGGGCAGTGGCCTATCTCCTGTTTCACCTTGGAGCCCAACCCTGTCCCTACTCCTGAAAAGAAACTTTCCCCTTTCCCATGTTCCCCACAAGGCTTAGCTCATAAATAATCATTTCCTACTGCATAACCATTCGAAATGGAATCCCTATGCTTGACTGTAGTGAGGAAAATTTGTTTAGCAAGGGGTTTTTATTACATAATATGTATGTGACATCTGGTAATAGGAACTGCATTATATTTATTGTTTTATCTCTGAGAAAATATTGAAATAAAAGGAAAATGATCAGGGCCCATTATTCTCCAATGAGAAGGAATCTCGGGGCTTCGCTGGAGAGATGAAACAGAGGAAGTGAAAAGAATTCAATTCTGTAATAGTATAGCAGTCCAAAGTATTCTGCTAAACATTCAGGAGAGAAGGGGCTTCAGGGGCCCTGGAAGAAAATCAGTGTTGAAATGATGTCACTAGTTTCCATGGAGGTTTTCTTTCTATATAAGCAGGGAGAGAAAACTCAGAAACTCAGGATGCTGTTGGACTCAATGAGATAAAACTGTGTGTAGTATTTCTTTGCACCCATTGTAGTGTCCAGGGTCTAGATGAAACAACAGTCTAAATGCTACTGCTTTTTGAGAGTTCAGCTGAGCACCGTCTCCATTTATAGAACCTGTAATGTTATCTTGGTAAATGGAAAGGGTCTAGAAGGTGGTGGGTCTTTCTTGGTGCCTGGGGTCCATGCACAGAGGGGGCTTTCTCACAATAATTGTATTTCTTGTATTTCTTCTAATTCCAGAGGTTCCAGGAGAAATTTCCACCCGTGTTTTCTTCCCCGTTCGGAAACGTTGTCCAAAGCTCAAATAATAAATTCCGCCGCAACTTCACTGTGACCTACCATCTGAACCCTGGGAACTATGTTGTGGTTGCACAGACACGGAGAAAATCAGTGGAGTTCTTGCTCCGAATCTTCCTGAAAACGCCAGACAATGACAGGTACAGAACCCTCTGGGATTCTAAATGTTTTATTCTATTTAACTTTATAAAAACGCGTTGTGTCGTTATGGGCTGTGCTCTGTGTATTCGTGCAGCATGTCACTGGGGACGCAATATTGGCCCCACTCTAGAGCAGCTCACCATAAAGGGGGAGCAAGAAAGTCTGTGAACCAAGAACCAGACCACAAACAGGATGGGGCCATTGCCAGATGGAAATGCAAAGTGGCACGGGAGGACTGAGTGGCAAGAGGGACTGAGAGAAATGGCACTTGAGCTGGCCTTTGAAGAAAAACACAATTTAATAGCTTAAAAGGGAAGGCGATGGTGGCCATGGGAAGGTGGTAGAAGAAAAAAGCATGAATGGTGGCAGGGAAGTGACTGTGCACAGGGCTGCTTGGAGAGTAAGTAGCATTGGCATCTATACAGGAAGGTGGCATATCGCCAGCATGTCACATGTCCTGAAATGTGGGGTACAGCAGGGAGACAGTGAAAGATGGGCCTGAAAGAAAGAGTCCATCACGGAGGGTCTTCCATGCCAACTTGATCATTCGAGACTGCGACCAGCAAGTGCTCACCCCGCTGGGCCCCATGTCTTCTCTTGGGCCCAAGGCAGACATTGCCATCATTATGGCAGTCTTTGCAGTTGAGCGTGGGTGAGACCTTCCAAGTCCAGCATGGCAGGCCGCCATCACACCACCAATCAGAGATGGAGCCTAAGGCAGAGCCTATCTGCCATCCTGACAATGGGGGTTGCTGGAAGTATCTGGTTGTGGAAAGAGCCATTTACTAAACAGTTAAAGACCAGACCATGTCCAGCCAAAAGGCTGGGCTCATGGCCACAGTGTGGTAGCTGCTCACTTCATGTCCTGCGGTGCTGAGGGTGCCCCATTCAGGAACTTGGCATCAATATCCAGTGCCAGCTGGGCGCACTGTATATGCAGGCCCCCTTTGAGTGGTGAGCTGGTCATCCTTGTCACACTGTCCTCTGATTTTCTAGGCACCTGAGCCACCATTTCAACCTCAGAATGGAGGTAGGTATGCAGCAAGGTTTGGCTGACAAGCCTCATTGGCCCCATCCCATCCCCAAGAGCTTCTGTCTCCTTCTTTGCGCCTTCCCCTGCCCTCAACCAATGAAAAGAGAGATACCATGATAGGCTGATGATGGCTCAAAGGGGTGGGCGGGGTAGGGGGAGAAGACCAGACCTCCAAGGCCAGGCTCAACGCAGTCCTCTTCCTTCCACAAACTTCAGTTTTCTCATTCCCCAGAAGGCTTTTTCCAACTGCCCAATAAAGCCTCTTTCTCAGATCTTGGCAGGGGTTGTTGTGCCCTTGCTGAACCAGATGGGTGGCCTCCTTCCCCAGAAGTCTAACACTGGCTATTTTCCCTTTGATCCAGGGAAGCCCTTCCGAACATGGCTCCCAACAAAGCGTTTTCAACAGATATGCTCAGCAGGTATGGTACCCCAGGGGCCTTACGTGGGAGCAGAGAAAGGGGATCTGAGGGAGGGACAGCTCTTATAGGCCCTTATTGGGATGCAGAGAAGCGAAGTGACTTGATGGATTATTTTACCTGCCTCTCTTTCTGGATCATCTCCAGAACTGCTCTGGCTGCCAAGCTCGGTAGAGACACGGCACCCCACCCAGTGTCATCTGGGTGACATCAAGATGGAATGTAGAGCTTAGAAACGGAGGGGATAATTATGGGTTGTGAGGTGCATTGCCTTCTAAATCTTTAAACAAGCAATTGGCAGTATCCCTTAAAACCTTTCCTTCTCCTACTCGGCCACCTCCCACCAACCTGGCATCATTCCTCCCGGGAGCTAGCCAGCTTCAGAAAGCAAATACAGCATCCTTGCTGCCAAGCCACCTATGTGCACACAGGATTTCCCTAATGGCTTAATAAACTGTTATAAAGAACTCCTTGACTTGTCAGAATAAAATAGCTGCCAGGGGCTCTGCACAATGGGCCTCTTACCGTTAATAATTGTGTTGGTGTGGAAAGTGGACAGTGATACCGATGTGCGTCTCTACCCTGCTGCCTTGAACCAGGAAGAGGCCAAGGACAGGAAGGAGGGCAGGCCCTGCCTCTGCATTCAGAGGGTCACTGGGGCAGTGGTCACCCAGAAGCAGCCTGGGCCAAAGTAGGAAAACTTAGGGAAAAAAAAAGAATGTGGCTGGAATGAGGGGCATGTGTTGCAAAGAGCAGCTGAATATAGGAACACAGACCTCCATGAAATCAGTACCAGCCCAGGATCCAGGTCCACTATCTGGGCTGATTCAGGAGGCACTTCCCTCACTGCGTGACAAGGCCGGCCAAGATGACTGTCCTCAGTCTGCAAGCTCCCAAAGGCAGGGATGATATTATATGCATTCCTTGTCCCCAACACTGATCACTGTCCTTGGCCAAGGAGGTGCTCAATCATTTTTATTGAATTAAGGCAGATCACCTCCCCCGGAGCAGATGCCTGAGTGAAGGTTAGCCCCCGAGGTGGTTAGCAGGCGTAATTAGGATGCCTGAGACCAAGCTTCCTTCAGTGGCAGGTGGCAAATTCTCACACACGGCCCATGCACCTGCACCTCTAAAATAAAAATGTCTGCCATATGTGAAGATGGGACAGATTTTCTAATCAGAACTTTTCCAAACAACAGCCAAATCCCTCCTCATAGAGGGTGATTAGTGGCCCATAGAGGGCCTTTGTGGGAATTAGAGTAAGACCCCAGTGTGGCACTCTGCCAGATACATGGCTGGGAGGTAGAAAAGAGACGGGATTCCAGCCCCCTTTCACCTCTCGGCCAGGCACTCTTGAGCAGGACCCACCTGGCAGTATTCTGTAATCCTGCAAGCTGTCCTCAGGGTCTATGTCCTCCAAAGAAAGTTTAAAGCAAAATAATCCTCCATGCACTCACTGTGTCCTCTCTTCTGACCTTTTCTATCACTTTAGATTTAAACTAATACAATGGTTGTCGGGTACAGTGGCTCACGCCTGTAATCCCAGCACTTTGGGAGGCCATGGCAGGCAGATCAGGAGGTCAGGAATTTGAGACCAGCCTGGCCAACATGGTGAAACTCTCTACTAAAAACACAAACATTAGCTGGGCATGGTAGCACATGCCTGGAGTCCCAGCTACTCGGGAGGCTGAGACAGGAGAATTGCCTGAACCCAGGAGGCAGAGGTTGCAGTGAGCCAAGATCATGCCATTGTGCTGCAGCCTGGACAACAGAGCAAGACTCCATCTCAAAACAAACAAACAAACAAAAAAACTAATACAATGACTTGATGCTACCACCGGTTCTTCATTCACTATAGTAGTAGTGACAGCTCTATAACCCAGGGTCTGCCTGTGGGAAAGGAAGGATCCACTTAGACTCTGGGATGAGCTAGGTCTATCCACCAAGTAGCCAGCATTTACTGAGCACCCAGTCATTACAAGTCCCACACTAAGCTTTGGGAATCCCAAGGAATAGCTTTTGGGCATCTTGCATTGTGGTGGTCGAGGCAAACATGCAATTTTTTAGGAGATTGTTTAAGCATCCCTCACCTCCATTCCTACCCTCATCTCCTCAGACTCTTTTGGTTGGTTATGGAATGCGGGACCCGGGGCAGGCTCTGTCCCCACGTGGGAATATGGAGGGAAAAGACATGGTCCATGCCCCAAAGCTGCTTTATAGTGGATGATTCCATGGAAGTCGGAACTCCTCATTAGCATGCTGACTGCGGCTCAAAGCGAGGTGTCCTGAGTCTCTGGAAGAGAAACTCAGTTGATAGTGGGCACCCAACACCAACTTTCCTGATAAAACCCAAAGTGAGATGTGGGAGAAATGACCTGAGGACCAGTTTCAGGCACTGGCAAGATGTCTTCCTCAGGGGCATCCTGAGGGGTCATCCTTCTGGGTGAGGACCCTGTCAGGATGGGCTCTGGGGCTGTTTGTGCTTCCAGTTCAAGGTGGTAAGACCAATCCTGGGAGATGGAAGGTGCTGATTCTCAGAAGACCCCCAGGAGGCACCCTCTTCTACCTGACCAGTGCCACTCCACAGGGCCACCTGCTGATAAATCTTTCCAGCACCAGCTCCCCATGGAAATGCTTTCCCAGGGCAATACCAGCATAGCATCCCCTCTGCCCTTCCCAGGCTGGACGTGAGGAAGAGCCACATACAGAACAGCTCCATGTCTCTGTGAAATTGTCATCAAAGACACTGCCTGTCAAGCTGCTGGATGCCCCCAGTATAAAATCAAACGCAGTTAACTGTCTCAGAAGTTGAGGCCAGGAAGAATTCCTCCCTCCCCAACCTCAATTGCTTCCCGCTCTTAATCCAAAGAAAACCATGTCTCCCTTTTTGCTTCGGTGGCTGGGAAAATTAATGCTAAGTAATGTGCTCAATGATAGCAGTTTCTCTTAGCCCACATTTCTGTTATTTTTAACTCCTATTATCACACACGTGCATACACACACACGTACACAGTAGTCATTATTTTTTCCTAAGTCTCTTCCTGGAAGCAGATGGGGAACACATCTGAAGGGCTGAGTTGATTCATTCAACAATACTTACCCTGAGGGGTTCCCAAGTGCCAGAGATGGTGGGAAGGACTAAACTGCTTTCAGTTCAGTAATGGATAAAGAGAGAAATGCAAGGTCACCTACACCAGGGGCCAAGCATCAGGAGTGACCAACACGACAGATGTGCAGGGGAGGGAGTCACTACTATGGCTGGGAGCCATCAGGTAAGGCTTCATGACGAGGGCAAGATGGGTACATTGTGGGGACTAAGTGCTTGGAAATCTGAGTGTTTTTACAGGGCAGGCAGATGTGCCTCTGAGATCCTGGAACTCATATAATTCCTGCATTCCTTCCTTATTTGGTTCAGAGGCTGGACATTGATGCCACCCAGCTTCACAGCCTTCTCAACCAGGAGCTTCTGACAGGTACGAGCAGCCCAAGGGCAAGCTGGCCCCACCCTCCTCCCTGCTGGCAACCCCCACCCCACACCCCACTGTCAACACTTCAGTCCTTCCTGTCCTTCTCTCCTCAGGACCTCCAGGGGACATGTTCTCCTTAGATGAGTGCCGCAGCTTGGTGGCTCTGATGGAAGTATCCTTTGCGGTCCTCCCTTCCATGCTCTGAGCGCCCCTCTGCTCTGTGGGCTTCCCCAGAGTCTTAATTAGGACAGTAGGGAACCCTTTTCTCACTCTTAGTATTTTCTCTTCTTTCCTGTCCCTGAGTTTCTGGGGATTCGCTACTAACTCACTAACGTGCCACAGCAACAATGATAATAGTTACCATCTATTAAGCACCTACTATATGCTGATCAGTGTACTGGGGGGGGTGTGTGTGTGTCCTTACAATTCTTGAAGCAACCCCTCTGATACAAAACGTATCATCTCATCATACAGTGGAAGAAACAGGAGTTCAGAGAGGTTAAGTAATTTGCCCAGATCACACAGCTAGTCAGGACTCGTGCCCACATTTGAAGTTGGAGCTTTCAGCCTCCAAAGTCTATGCTCTAACCTTATCCTAAACTGCCCTTTATAGCACCGTTGGGAACTGTTTTCCCTTTGACCTGTTCCCTTCCCACTGGAGGAGTCTCTATTATTTAAATTTCTTACTCAACAAGTCCCCAGTTCAATAAAGATAACTACCACCAAAACACGGAAAACTGCCTGGTCGACACAGCAGTTGCACCTCAGCATTGTTACCATGCTGCGTTTGCAGCGGAAGAGGCTGGGCAGATGCAGTTCAGCAACTCACTCCAGGCCCGTGGCTACAAGTGTAGGGCTGGGCAGATGCAGTTCAGCAACTCACCTCCAGGCCCGTGGCTACAAGTGTAGGACCAAGAATTGAACCCCAGGTTCCTGCCCCTCCTCCTGATTTCCATTCCCCAGTGAGCCATCCTCCTGCTGTGCACCCCTCGTTTGGCAGGCAGGAGACGCTGACTCCATGAGTGTAGACCCCCAGATGCTGCCCTGCCAGCCCCTCACTAGGCAGTGTGCTGTCTCGTGAGACGCTCTGTCCCTCTCCCGCACCATTGACAAGGCTCAATTGGGACTGTGAAGCCGGCCATTGTAAAACAAGAGGGGTTTTTTGATGAAATCATAAATCAGGCCCTGTCTCTGCTGGCCTTGCTTTGGAATCTGTCAGAGACACTACCCATCTCCCACAGAGGAATCCAAATGGTCCTCATAGACCCATGGCCCAGGGTGAGTAACCCTAGGGGAGGTCACCTTTGCTGGACCCCTGCAAAGCAGACAGGTCTCTTTCAGCCTTCTTCCTACTCACTCGCTGGCTCCCCTTCCAGTTCTCAGAAGTTAATGCTTTTCCCTTCATTAGTCATCACTGAACCCATCATACGGCGCAGCCAGGGCTGGCTTTAACATGCCCACGGGATGTGTTCCCTCTATACTTATGCGCAAAGGGCTCTATGTGCTTTCCTGTGGCTGCTGCTTCTGGGTTGCCATGACCCCTTCGTGCTCCTCCCCAACTTCTGGAGCCAAAGCGCCCACTCCAACTGGTGGAGGCTGTGTTCTAGACCCCTCTCTTCCCTCAGATGCAAGTGATATTGGCCTCTTTTCCTCAGGGGTTCCTTCTTCCAATTGCCCATTTTTCTTTGTGAAGCAAATCTAAGCCAGGTCCCTTTCAGATGCAGCAGGAGCCAGCTGGCATGCAGCCACATCTAGGTGACAATGGACCAGCTGGCATGAGGCCACATCTAGGTGACAATGGACCAACTGTGTTGCTAGTGATGGATGGACCTGCTCTGGCTTCACTGGCAGGACGGCAGCCCCTCTGCACCTTGCACACTGACTGGTTCACACTTAACTCCGTACCCAGCTGAAAGTGGATGGGCGGCTAGACCAAGAGGAGTTTGCGCGACTGTGGAAGCGCCTTGTTCACTGCCAGGTACAGGCACATTCTCTGTGACTAGCACGCTCATTCCGTCCAGTTAGCAAGGATTTACTGGGTGTCTAACCCTGCACCAGGGTTCAGGGGTATGAAAGACGAGGAAATCTCACCCCTGCCCTCAAGGAGAGCTCGCATGTTGTTTGGGGAGATGTAGTGCAACTCTAGAAGGCAAACGCAATGCCCAGTTAGGTGGCGGAATGAGGGATGCGTTGGAGGTGGGAGGAGAATGCTGTCCCTGTAAGCTAAAGCTGCCCGCTAGCATCTCCCACAACCCCGGCCCCTCCATCCACTGCAACACCTGCTAGCTTATCTCATCCCCGTCCAATCCATCTGCCAGAGGATCTGTCGAAAACAGTGATGCGGCCTGAGGCCTCAGTGTGGCCTCCCCATTTTTCCCAGGACAAAGTCTAAACCCTCAGAGTGGCACACAAGACCCTCTAAGTGGGTCTCCATTTGAGGCCCAGGAGAAGCCCTTTCCACTCATCCCACTCTCTCCTTTAGACTCCAGTACAAGTCTAAAGGAGACTCACTATTTCCTGTAAACGTCACACCTGTGCCCCTTCACCCTGCCCCTCCCGTCTCTCCCCTCCCCGCACACTCAGACTGGCCAGTGCCCACCTACCCTGGGAGTCCAACCTCTACCACTCCTTCCCTGCAGAACCTTCCCTGGGGACTCTGCTGGCCCCCATGACCCCTCTGGCCCCTAACACTTGAACCCACATCTGTCAGGGCCAGCCACACTGTGTTGTCTTATCATATTATACTTACAAATAATATCTCCTTATTAGGAAAGCAATACCTATCATAGTAGAAAAACAGAAAATATAGATGGGCAAAAATAAACTTAGAAAACATGGTCTTGCCAACCAAAGGGAAACTGTTAACACCTAGTGAACATACTTCAGAATTTTTCTTGTAATATGTATACCCACACATGCCAAATAGAAGTATAATCTGTTTTTAAAAATTAATAAATGCCAATAAATACATCAAATGTCTAGCCAGGTCACTAAATATTTTCATAACATGTTTAAAGGCTGAAAAAAAAAACATTCCTGTGTGGCTATTTCATTATATATCCCCAGATCCCCAACCAGGGGCCACTTGGTTTCTCATTTCATTGCAGGGCACTGCGACGGCCAGCATGTCCACTCCCCTGGGTCCCCCAGGGCAAGGGTTCCCTCATATCCATCTTTCCCCGGCACCTCCATAGTGTCTAAAACACAGCAGGGGTTCAAAATGCTGAATAAATGACCGAAGGAATTCCGAATGAACGAGTGAATGCCTGAGATCATTCTAGGTCTGTCCTTGCACTCACCAAAAGCCGAATAACGCCCCCAAAAAGCTGTCCAGCTGCTATTTTGCAAAGGCAGTTGTCTACCATGGTTGCCTCAGTCACGTGCCTGTGTGTGGGTACTTTGCTTTGGAGTAGCTCCTGGGGACAGCTAGGCATAGACTCAAATTAGGGTCCTGAGTTCAGTCCTGCAGCACTTACATACCTAATCCAAGGCAAAATGTTCCCTGCCTGAGCATCAGTATCCCCATCTGTGAAGTACGATGTTGACCAGGATTATAGGGAGAATTGGGTAGAAGTAGAAAAGGCCTAGGTAGGTGCAAGAGCCGCCTCATACAAAAGTGATATGTTCCGAGTGCCACCTTCTGCCCACGTGCTGGGCTCCAAGATGCCATTCCAACCTGCTTTCAATGTTTTCTATAGAGCATTCACTCATGTGCAAAGCACTCCCCCAAGCACTTTATAAATATTTAGTCATTTACTCCCTGCAACGAACCTATGAGGTAGGCACTGTAATTAACCCTATGCTACAGATGAGGAAACTGAGGCCTAGGAAGACTAAGTCATGGCTAAAGGTAATACAGCTGGTAAATAATCCACGATTTAAACCCTAGCAGTTTGGTTGTAAAGCCTGAGCTCCTCTTAACCACTACCCTACGCAAACTCTCTAGAGAGCCCTACGCTCCCCTCAAAAGCAGAAAACGGCCCTATGTGTCAGGGCTCAGCCTGGGGGTGCAGAAGAGGAAGAAGCCTGGGTGAGGAGAGAAGCAGCCACAGCCCCTCAGCAGGCAGCCAGGATGGTCAGTTCACCAGGTATGGCCACTCTGTCCTCCCAGTCTTCAGTGCTGGGACCGTGCCTGCCTCTGAGGTTTAGGGAAGCAACCTCCCAGGACGGAAAAGGAGCATCCAGGACCTCCCCCGTCTTCACAGACTTCTTGCTTCTCTTCCCCTATTAGCATGTTTTCCAGAAGGTTCAGACAAGCCCTGGAGTCCTCCTGAGCTCGGACTTGTGGAAGGCCATAGAGAATACAGGTACAATGGGGACTTTGGAGCTGTGGTGCCTGGGGTCCGGGGGTGGGTGTGATGCCCACACCCCTAGTAGCAAAGCTGGCACAGCAGTGCCAGGCAATCAGAGAGGAGCACTGCAGATCTGGTGTCCTCCCCAGTCCACGCTGACCCTGGGGGGCCTCTAGGGCTGCAGACTCAGACATAGTTGCCCCGTCCGAGTTCTTACGTGCCAGTCAATTTTCCCAGATGCCTTTCCTCCCCAGCACAGCTCTAATTGTGAGAAAATAGCTGCCGCATGATTGATACCCTACCAGGAATCGAGCTCGCCTCGGAGACGCGCTTCCAGCTCAGTATCTGGGCCATCAGGGTTAAATACCCACAGGCTGGCTGATGATCGCTCTCTCTTCACAGAGAGTTTGGGGCTAAATTAAATCAAATGGCATCTGTCTGCTTCAAGTAGGCAAAGGCTTTCAGCCCTGGGATAATGATAATAATACCTTAGGGTGCGTAAGTGCTCCATGGTTCACCAAGCACTTCTGTTGGCGTCATCTCATTTGACTGTCTCGACTACCCTGCGAACTGGGAAGGGCAGGAATCATTACCTCCACCGTCCCAATGGGGAAAATGGATCACAAAAAAAGTTGCACAAGGAAATGGACACCTTCCTTTAATAAAATGTAAAATCACATTTTCCCGGGTTAACACCGGAAGGAGAGTCTCCATCATCCTCCCTCCCATGGCTCCCGGCCTGGAGACAGGGCAGAAAGATCAGGCTGCTGCCCCCAGCTGTAGCCCGGATCCTCCCCTTAATGCTTCATAACGTAGAGCTGGGACTCTCAAACCCGAGCTGCCTGAGCTGCCTCCGAATCCCCTTCAGGGCTTGTTAAAGCCCAGATTGCTGCACCTCTGATCAGGAGGTCTGGGTGGGGCTCAGGAATTTGCATTTCTAACAAACTCTCAGGGGATGCTCATGTCCCTGGTCTGGGGACCACACTTTAAGAATCCATTAAAGATGAAATATTTTAAAAAGACCTCACTCATGACTCCAGAATGATAAAAGAGAAAACAGTAGAAAATTGTTCGAATTCAACTCAATAAGCCTTCAGCAGCCAGGCAGGTAAGTGAAAGGGGCGATGGAGCTCACAGTCAGAAAACAGGTGACTGAGAACGTGCCAAGCAGGAGAGGACCTGGCTTATCTAAAGGCATTCAAGTTCATGTTTTATTAACTCTGCCAGAGAAAGCATGTGTGTCTCTGGCTGCCAGAGGCTCACGGGCCACCAGGCTTGTCCCCATGATGGATGGTTTGGTTTGCAGGGTTCTACTGGCTCTCTAAATCTTGCAAAGCCTGACTGTGCGCCAGTATGTACTTGGCCCTGTGAGGTTGGTGCCTCCCTGGAGCTTATAACTAGAAGCACAGGATGACAAGGCACTGAGCTCCTGCCTGCCTGAGGCCACCTCCTGCGTTCTGCTGTCCCACCAAGGGTCAGTCTTTTCCCTGGATGGAATTAGGACTGCATCTCCTTGTGCCAGGGGCCACTCCCACCTACACTAGCGGCATCCATAAACAACCTACCTACAGTCATGGGTCGGGGGGAAGGTTGTCCAGGTCATCAGCAGAGAGAAGGTTGACAGAGGCAGGGCTAGAAGCACCCCCCAGGTGTCCCAGCAGCTCTCCCATTACGTGGGAATGATCAGATGATTGCGAAGACTGATGTGTCCCCAGAGCAGTGTCTTCAGTATCTTCACCTGGTCTCTGACCAGACTCCAGAACTAGGTTCCTGGGGCCCAATAACCAACGAGAAAGAGAAGACACTAAAGGGAGGGGGCTGAGTGGGAGGAGGAGTTGGTGGGAGGTTGCTGGGACCTCTGAACAGGTCTCTCAGACCCTGAAAAGCAGAGGAACCCCCCAGCCCTAGCCTCCTCTCACTCACTCGCTCACCTGTGGCCCCAGACTTCCTCAGAGGGATCTTTGTCAGTCGTGAGCTGCTGCGTCTGGTGACCCTCAGGTACAGCGACAGTGTCGGCAGGGTCAGCTTCCCCAGCCTGGTCTGCTTCCTGATGCGGCTTGAAGCCATGGCAAGTAAGTGTCATCGAGGGGCATCCCAGAGACCTTGGCAGTGACCGGAGAACACAGGAGAGGACCGGCCACCCCTTACCCCACCCCAGGCCTGCGTGAGGCCTCAGCAGCAGGGTGGGCTGGCAGCCTGCATGAGGCACCAACCAAGGCTGCAGATGGCATGACCAGCTCCCTCTGCACCCCCCTCTCCCCTGTAGTTCCCCATCCCGGGTCTCTTCCTCATCACCCTGCCCAACCCCTCTCTCAGGAACAAGGTTAATTGAAATCATGCTGTCCCCCTCTCCAGGTTGTGTTTATCATTGAAACCTGCTCTTCAGTTATGTAATGAAGGATTTTGGTCCTCGCTGAAGGAATTTCACACACAAGTGAATAAGTGGGTGTAGGAAGTCCCTCCCCAGGCTTCAGAAATCCAACTGTGTGGGCCGAAGTTTCCACACCTTTTAGCAGCATGACCCTTTGGTTTTAATGAAATCTAGTGTGAAACCCCAGGCTACAGTGGGGCGGCTGTGATTGCGGGAGAGAGGCCAGACCCCTCCCCACTCATAATCCTCTCACCACCCTGCCATGAGGCACCGCTACAAAGCCTGCAGCTCTGAGCTGGGCAGAAAAGATTGAGAGACTAAGGCTCTGGGAGGGTAAAAAAGAAGCCCGAGGTTCAACCCCCATACAGTTCTCAGTTGGTTGCACAAGGGAGGTCCCCAAATCGTATCACTGCAAGAATAACAAGCCCTCACATCCCCTCAGCCTAGTGTGGATGGATGCAGGGGCAGGGAGTGCAAGGAAGCTGGGAGAGGGAGAGGCGAGCGGGAAGAGCAGGCACAGAGTCCCTCTGAGGTGGCGAGCCCTGAGCCACTCGCCCTGTGCAGAGCTCGGCTGGACAGAGAAGAGGACAGGTGACAGGCACACCCCATGGGGCAGGAGGGGTTGCTTTACAGAATCACCTCCTGTGCTTCTTATGGGCCCAGGTCTGCCTCCCCTGAACTGCCTGGATTCCTCCCTCCTCAGTCAGTCAAAACCTTCCCTTCTTTATCCTAGAGACTTTCCGCAACCTCTCTAAGGATGGAAAAGGACTCTACCTGACAGAAATGGAGGTGAGGTACCTTCCCCTCCCTGGGGCAGGCACAGTCCTAGGCTGCCTCCCCTGACTTGATTCCAGGGGGCATTTTTTCCCCTGAGGATATTGAACGGTCTGTCAAAGGCCAGCCAAGCTGTCCCCTCAACCTCCAATTACTGCCTTATATATCGCTGGCCGCCAGGCTGCTTTAGGATCTTGGCAGACAGATTTTATTTTTTTTCCAATAGCTTAATAAAGCAGAGGATTATGTGGGAGTCATAAATCCAGGAGGGAACAGAAGGACAGCCCGCTGAGCTCACTGTACATTAAACTTACTCCCATTGAGTTTTAGAGGCTCCTGACCAGCCAACTGGTCGACCTAAGATATACGTCTCACTGCCTGGTTATTCAGGGAGTAGCAGAAGATGTGCTGTGAGACAACCCCACCCTGTACCCAGCTTGGGCTGGAATTAGCTGGAAGGGGTGATGAGACTGGCCTGAGGTCTTTCAAGGGAGGAGGATGGCATTTGCCCTGTTCTGTATTAAGCTAACAAGTGTAAAGGATTGTTGTAATGATGATGCTTATTTTTCAGTGGATGAACTTGGTCATGTACAACTGAAGCAAAGAGGAAAGCAGACCCCACAGCTCAGGTAAGACATGGTAGCTTTGGAGTCTTTCCCTCCTGGGAGCATGAGTCCCCCTTCTCCTCCAGGAACTGCATATAAGACTCTTTCCTTGGGAGAGCCTCCCCAGGGATGACAGACCCTTACCGAAGTGAACCAAGGCTTAGCTGCTCAAGGCCATTGAGTTTCAAGGCCAATGCTGCAGATTTCATGCAGACAATGTAGACCAATGGACCTTTATGGAAAGGCGTGGCTTGAAAGGCATGAATGAGGGTTTAGAATTCTTTACTGAAGTTCCAAAGGAAAAAAGTGATCTCTTATCACAGGAAAGGCAAGAGAAACGGTGGAAATTGAACGGTGTAGAGTAACAGAAATGGTAGAAATGGTCAGGCCTTGGGGAGAGAAGAGCGGGCTCTAGCCCCAGCTGTACCATTGTCTCACTGTGCAGCTTTGGACAGATGATGAATATCTGTAGGCATCAGTGTTTATCCCTCTAGCATGAGTGTGCTGAAGAATTAACACTCATGTCATTTCCTCTACATTCTTTTTCATGGAACAGACCCTAGTGTTACATAGTCCACATCCCAACCCTGCTGTAGCAGAAGCCCCATCAGTCCTCTAGAATCCTTTAGGACTGGGGAGCTCAAGATGTTGTGGTTCCCGTTGTTGGACATCTCCAAGTGTTAAGTATTCCTTAGCTAGAGGCAATCATCTACTTCTCTGAAACTTTCTTCTCATGCTGCTGGCTCCACTCTCTGGACCACTGTAGAAAAAAATACTGGACATGCACGACCTACAAAAGAGGATACCTTTGCTGTTTTGCCCCAAAGCCCATCTTCTTTCATTATTCCTGTTGGTTTTCATCCAGACCTCCTGGTGACCATTCTCTATGTGCCAATGTACCTTTGAAGTATACAGTTCTCCACGCAGCCGACCTGTGATCAATATCGCCTAAAACTCGATTGTTTTTGTAAACAGTATTTAATCTCCCATTCGTGTACCTTGAAGTCAAGGGACAGACACTCTCTCCATAAATAATGTTTTAGCATAAATATTTCCTGATGAACATTTGATGCTTTCTAATGATCGCAAATTAATACTGCAGAGATCATAGTTAATTTGACCCAACCATATTTCCTTGAGTTCTCCTTTCACTCCTTTTTAAAAACAGAACATTTGATTATTTTCAGTTTTATTGTGCCTGTTCCAATCTGCATGATTTCTAATATCAAAAATGATTTGTCAATTGTATATTTAAGCTAATTTGATATACAGGGCCTAAAGGCTCAAACTTTCAAAATAACTGGATTCTCTCTTATTATCTTTTCTCCTGTACAGGGTCCCAATTCTCTCTCTCTTAACTAATCTTTCCACCCTTCCTATTTTTAAAAAATGTGTCAGAAGGAAGTATAATATTAGAGACATTGTTGTGTTTACTTCAGTTTCTTTCATTAATGCCTATCATCACCCCCAGGAGTGCTTCCCTAGCTTCCTCATTGATTACCACCCTCTGGCATCACATCATTAAAGCACATCCACTCACTCTTGGCTTGTGGTTTGCTTTACAGAATTGGAGGCAGGAAGGTGAAGAAGTTCTGCCTCCAAATCTACAAATCCACCTTCCTCTGTAACTATTTCCCTCCTTCTTCCTGTTAAGTTAAAGGGCATGTCCCTTTAAGGACATTCTGTTTCTCATTACCCTTCACCTTCTCAAGGGGCTGATTGAATGAATTCTCTCTTCTGTCTTCTGAATACTAAACCTGTCTTTGTCTTCTGGAGTCATGTAACTCCCATTTTAAAATGTATGTCTTTTAAATTTATTTATCTCCTACCCCTTCCAGCTGAACTCCACCTCTTTCCTCTCATTACAACCAAATTTCACAGAAGAGCTCATCGTCCACATATTCTCACTTCCTACTCTCCCTGCTAACTGCTTCAGTTGAGATTTCTTAGACATCATCTTTCTCCCTGACTTTGGCATGGCCTCCCTATCTGGTTTTCCTATATCCACTCGTATCCCTCCAATCAGTTTCCTGCAGCCGGACTACACTTTTAAAAATTCAAATCCAATCATTACATTCTCCAGGCTTAAAAACCCTTCAATGTCCTCCCATTGCTCAAAGGAAAAATCTGCCATCATTAACATGGACCACAAGAGCCTGCCTCCTCTGGCCCCTGCCCACCATCTAACCACAACTCCTACCTCTTTTTCCTGCTCTCTACTCCCACCACACCATCACACCTTTACTTCCTTCTATTTTCCATGCTTTTCCCAGCCTGAAGCCTTTGGCCTTACTGTCTTCTCTGTCTTGGCTATTAGTCACCAAACTCCTGATCCTTTATGTCTTAGCCCAGTTGGGTTCCCATGTTATGGGTTCCCATATTATTCACTCACATATCACCCCTCCCCAGTCATAACATTCAACACACTTGGTTGTAGCCCATTCCTTCTTTTAAAGAAATGTATTGAGATATAATTCACACATTGTACAGTTTTCTCATTTAAAGTATAGAGTTCAATGGTTTTTAGCATAGTCAGAGTTGTGCAACAATCACCACAATATGATTGTTAGAACATTTTTATCACCACAAAAAAGAAACCCCATGCCCATCTAGCATGCCCACAGCAGTTGCTTCCCAATTGTGTCCCACCCTCTAGCCGGAGGCAACCACTGATCTATCTTCTGAATCTAAGTTTACCTATTCTGGATATTTCATATGAGTGATTCATACAACATGCGGTCCTTTATGACTGGCTTCTTTCACTTAGCGTAATGTTGTCAGGATTCATCCATGTTGTAGCATGTATCAGTACTTCATTCCTTTTAAGTGCCAAATAATATTTCATTGTGGCTATACCCCATTTTTTTCATCTATTCCTCAGTTAATAGACATGTGGGTTGTTTCTAGTTTTGCCTATTATTAATAATCCTGCTATGAATGTTTGTGCACAGGTTTTTGGGGGGACATATGTTTTTATTTCAATTGGGTGTATAGTTACGAGTGGAACTGCTGGATCATATGGAAATTCTATTTGTAACTTTTTGAGGAACCACCAAACCGTTTTCCAAAGCAGCTACACCATTTTACATTCCCACCATCTAGCTGCAAATGAGAATTCCAGTTTCTTCACATCCTCAGCAACCCTTGTCATTGTCTTTTATAGCAATCCTAGACAGTGTGAAGTGATATCTCACTGTGGTTTTGATTTGCATTTTCATGATGACTAATGATTTTGAGCATCTTTTCAGTGCTTATGGATTATTTGTAGATCTTTGGAGAAATGTTCATTTAGTTCTTTGTCTATTTTTAAGCTGCGTTATTTATATTTTTACTACCGAGGAGTTGTAGATGTTCTTTGTATATTGTAGACACGAATTCCTTATATACGTGATTTGCAAAAGTTTTCTCCCCTTCTGCAGGTTGTCTTTGCAGTTTTTTTGATACTATCGTCTGTAGCATATGAGTCTTTAATTTTGATGGAGTCTAATTTATCTATTGTTTTCTTTTGTCACATATTTGTGGTGGTATAGCTGAGAAATCATTGCCCAACCCAAGGTCAAACTATTTATTCTGGTTTTTCTTCAAAAAGTTTTATAGTTTAGCTCTTACATTTAGGTCTTTGATCCATTTTGAGGTCATTTTTTATATGGTATGAAGTAGGGTTCTAATTTCATTCTTTTGCATTCATTCATTTGTCCCAGCACCAGTTGCTGAAAAAAACTATTCATTCTCCTGTTTCTTTGTCTTGGAACCCTTTTCAAAAATCAGTTGAATATAAGAATTTATTTATGAACTTTCTGTTCCATTGATTTATATGTGTATCTTATGCCAGTATCACACTGTGTTGATTGCTACAATTTTATCATAAGTTTTGAAATCAGGAAGTGTGAGTTTTCCAACTTTATTTTACTTTTCAAGACTATTTTGGCTATTCTGGGTTCCTTGCATTTACATATAAATTTTAGAATCAACATATCAGTTTCTGGGATTTTGATAGAGAGTAAATTAAATCTAAAGGTCAATCTGGGAAATATTACCATCTTCACAATATAAAATCTTTTGTTCCATGTGTCTCTTCATTTTTATAGATCTTCTTTAATTTTTTTGAGCAATGATTTACAGTTTTCAGTGTAGAAGTCTTACACTTTCCTTGTTAAATTTATTCCTAACTATTACACTTTGGGATGCAATTTTAAATAAAATTGTTAATATTATTTTCAGATTTTCATTGCAAGTGTACAGCAATAAAAATGATTTCATATTGATCTTATATCCTGCAACCTTGCTAAACTTGTTTATTAGTTCCAATATTTTTAAAGAGCTTCCTTAGAACTTTATATATTCAAAAATCATGTAATCTGCAAGTAAAGATAGTTTTATTTTTCCACACCAATATAGAGCTTTTTATTTCTTTTTCTTGCCTAATTGTCCTGGCTAGAACCTCTAATACAATGCCAAATAGAAGTGAACAAAGCAGACAACCTTGTGTTCCTAATCTTGGGAGAAAACACCCAGTTCTTTGCTATTAAATATGATGATCACTGTGTGTTTTTCATAGATACCATTTGCCAGGTTGAGGAAGTGCACTTCTATTTGTAGCTAGCTGAGTTAACACACTTTTCATTACTTGCTTGATGTCAGTATTCTCCGCTAGACAATAAGCCTGGGTATGTCTTGTTTGTTGCTATTTCGTTAGCACAAAGCGAAACACCTGTCAAAGAGAAACTAGTTGGTAACTTTCTCCCAAATAACTGAAAGAAATTGTTCTTTCAGGTTTATACCTTCCTTTGTTTTGTTCTCATCCCAACATTTTTTACTATTAGTTTACACCCTAGTCTTCCTGCTATTTTAGCTATTCTCTATTTTATTCCCCTTTGGTGTACTGGGAGGCAGATAGTTAATATCATCTTGTTATTATCTCTAACATATCATGACCCATATTATCTTATGAAGCCCTATTTTTCCCTCACTTTTTTGAAAAATTTGAAAATTTCCCTCACTTTTTTGAAAAAGTTGAAAGTGTCCTGGTCACTTCAACTCTATCCAATATTCCCTTATTTTGCTATTACAAAGTTTCTTTCTTCTAGGAGTTTCAACATTCTGAGGTCAGCAAAGAGACTTTCATTGTTAGCCAGCATTCAATCCAGCGAGTCCCTCTCCTTGCTCACTTGATCCTCTGTGTTACAAAGTGTCACTGGAGCAAGCAAAGGCTTTGTCCTGAGTTAAGCGAGCTTCTCCCAGAGATGAGGGTTTTTGGAGCTCCATCACTAGGCTACTTTTTTTTCCAGGTCACTCCCTACAAACTGTGTACAAGACGTCTTTTATCTGCCCTTGGACTCACTGGGCAAGTCGAGGTATACTTTCGTTGTGAGAATACTTCTGTTCTCATCTTCAACCCATCTGCTCTCCTCTGACCTAGCAGATTGGGTTATACGTCTACGCAACTGGACTGAACCCCTCCTCCTCTCTTCCCATCAAAAATATTTCTTTTAAACGAAGTGTATGCCTTGTTGTCACATTGCAGGCAACACCTATATTAAAATATGTTAAAATATGAAGTTCATACTTGAAAGAATGCTAATACTTAGTTCATTGCTCTGTGCTCCTTGGACACTTGAGGCTGTATTGATTTTAATTGATTTCACAGTCTAGAGGTTTAATACACGGCAAATCACACTCTGCTGAGAGTTTGTCTAGCTAATGTCGTCTATATCTGTGTTGATCTACTGTCAATATGCCAGTAAAATGCCTTATTCTAACAAAATTGGTATTTATAACAATTTCCCACTGTATAAGAATACAGTTTCTTGAGGAAAGGGACACCTTCTCCTAGTCTGCAGGATTTAGGTGAAATATGACAACAGTGACCCTGGTCTTACTGATGACCCACAACCATTTTCTGCAGGATGAGTCTGCTTCTAACCTAGTAAATCCATCTCTCCCATCTCATTCTGTTCATCAAAAGAAATTCTTTTTGAGAGATCTGGCTAGATTCGGGGTTGAAGACTGACACCCCGGGGCAGATGGAACTGTCTGAGTTTAAGTTGAACTCTCCTATACTTGTGAGTTGAGAATTGTGAGTCTGGATGTGCCTCTGGTGAGGTGAAAACGCTCAACACCATTGGCAAGCATACACCTGGTGGTTACCAGGCACCTTGAGATGCCAGGGTGTCCAGCCTTCTGGAGCTGGCTTCGGAAGAAAAATGTATCCAATGGGAAACCGACATGTACACTCCAAGGGGATAAACCAAGGAGGAGGAAGAGTTGGAATCCAGGTAACAGAAGATCCAACACTAGACAGAGGCAGGGAAGTCCAAGGACCAACACTGTGCAGCAGAGCAAGAGAGTGAGCCATCCCAAGGGAAGCTGGAGGACAGCCTTTGGGGAAAATGGGAGCAATCGTTGATCAGATTGCTTAATTATAGAAAAAATAATGTTCAGAGGGATTTTGAAATTCTGCTGGAGAGCTTTGGAAGAATTAGTAGGATAACGACTTAAACTAAGCAGACAAAAAAGTGAGGCAGTTATTAACTCCTGGAAGAATAAAGAGTTACAGAAGAAAGAAAATGTGATCCTAGAGTATTTTTTCATTCAGCAGTGAACAGTACACATACAATTGTAATAAAATCAAAATGGAATATTGATTTAACAGAAATGTGACATAAATATATTAGAAGGATGGAAGGAGGGAAGTTGTAGACATGAAAGGGGGCTAGAAGCAACCTCGCCCCATCTTCCATCATAAGAAGTCAATAGGCATTTAAAATTGACAAATCAAGAATTAACTGCATAAGCATATTACCTAGAAATACGGAGGTAAACATCAGAAGAAAGAGTTTAGGGAGGGGAATTTGGATAGAAATGGGACAAGAAGCTGCTATTTTCCTTTGTGCCTTGTAGCACTCTTTGAATTTTTAAATTATGTATCTTGGACTGAATTTTTATGAAAAAAAAATAGGCAAACTAGCAAGTAGTCTGTGAGACAAGAGAGAAGGAGAGAGGCAGGGAAGAAGAGTTGAGGCCTCTTTACCCAATGGGTAGGGCAGCTGACTGATCATTGCAGAAAACGTGTCTATGCACGAATGTCACTTTAATCCAAACCCCCTGCACTTGAGAAAAACCACTCTCCTGAAGAAGTCCAAAGCCAGCCATCTGGAGCTTGCATGGGACAGAGCTCAGGGCTGTTGCTACCATAGCAGCCCCTGGCCTCAGCCCTTCCAACCTGCCTGGAGATGGGAGGAACATCTCTTCCCCAAGTTTCCCTCCACTCCAGTGCCAGTGCTCAAGGTGCTAAAATGGGCTATGATATAACTCAAGCTTGGGGCAGGACAGGTGTGGGGGTGCCCTTTAAGGAATTTTGAAGAATGGGGTAGGAACATCCATTAAGGGGCCATGGGCATGTTGGGGTCTGTCAGCCTTGCCAGCAGGAAGTACCAGTGCTTCCTCTACTGTGGGATGATCCAGAACCGCATCTTTGGAATGGGGATCCTCTTCTGTGATCACTCAAAGGAAGAAGTTTCTTTACTCACCCTTGGCCTTCTGCATTTGCGCCTCCATGTCTTTCTCTAGGACAAGCTCCCAGTGATCACTCAAGAATCTGTCTTTCATTCTAAGAGACTGTTCTGCCCACTGTGGTTGTGATACATCTAAACTGGCCCTGTGTGAAACGGAGTCCAAGCTGTCTTCCAACAGCCTGGGTTCGGTCCTTGGCTGGCCCAGGCCCTGGTAAGCCTGTGGCCACCAAGCAGCTTATCTGAGCACTTTGGGATGTGCTCAACCTACATTGCCCTGGAAAATGAAGCAGGAGATGTCTCCCTGTGGGAAAGGAGAAGAGAAGTTGCCTCTGAGTCACCTGTCACCAGTTGGATTCACTTCTTGGAAGAGCTAAAATGAGCCAGTTTGCCCACCCTCGGGTGCTATGGGTGACACGGGAGCTGTCCACTGGGTGTTTGCAGAATAATTACACTATCTTATGTCTGAATCCTGATTATTTCACAGCTAAATGGCAAAAATAAAACATGTTTCCCATAAAGGTGTCTCATTCAAGTTCTGTCTCAAAAATACGCTTGGAAAAGAGGAAAGGTACCCAGCAAGGCAGATGCTTCCCTCGCTCCCTCCTCAACCACAGTGTGGTCACCAGGTGTCTCAAAAAGGCAAGGCCCACAGAGGATGGAAGAGATTCCACAGCATAACTGGGTCAGAACCCACTCGAAAGAATTTGCAGTTGGAAAGCTCATTTCCGGATGCATCAACCCAGTAGGGGAATCGTTGCAAATGGGTGTGTCAAAAGGACAGGAAGGTGGGAAGCTTGCTGATTGTGTCTTTCTGAGTGGCACGGTCAGAGGACAGGATAGTGTGGACAGGACTGCATCATCACGCACAAACCCATGCCAGGAGCAACGGCAGTGCTCAGCAGTGATTGCATGCTGTATACAAGTACCAAACACGCAGCCAAGTGACCTCATCCACAGGGACTGTTGTAAAGCCTTCACAGTCATTTCAAGTAGAATAGCTGCCTGCTTAAGGAGTTGAGCCCCTCTTGCTAATGCTTTTGAATAGCGAGAGGGTCAGACACACAGCAAAATTTGGGACAGGTCACTTTGCCTCCCAGTCTGCTGCTTGGTTAGCCAGGATAGATGCCCATGTTTGTGAGCATGGACTTTGGAGTTAAAGCTAATGTCTAAAGATCCTGAATCCTGGGCTGTCAGACTGCCCTGCTACATAAGATTTTCTGCATGCAAAAAAAACTGGGACTGGCAGGTCAACAGAGACTCTGATAAGTGGGAAAATCCAGAAGAATGAATAAGCCATTTCCTGCAGGATTCAAAGATGACCTTCACCCAGGCATCCAGGTAGAAAGTCTAACGCACCTGCACAGTTTGCTGCCACAACCACGTGTCATCCCAAGCTCCTTTTGGGCCTCCTTGCATCCTGGAGGACAAGCAGAAATGGATGATTCTGCAGGCCTAGGGTTGGTGGCGAGCAGCCCCGGGGGTCTGCACAGGCTGGACTGGTGTCCTCAGGATGCAGGGCAGTTTCCTCCCTCATAGGGCTTTGCTCAGGGACCAGTCATTAATTTTCTCTCTAAACTAACAGAATTTAAAGGGGCAGGGTCCTCAATTGCTTGATTGAAAAACTGACTCTCCCTGTCATGCTGGGGCTCCAGAAGGCTCAGAAAGGCTCCAGGTGGCCATGGTAGAGGGGCCCTGGCTTCCAGTCTCCCCAGGAAAGGGCAGGGCCTTGATCCTTAGCCCCAGCACAGGGCAGACCAGTCAGTTCACCCCGAGGCTGCACCTCCTTGGGACTTCCCGTGTCCTTCAGCCAGGGTTGAGAAAGGGCTCCAGAGCAGGGTGGGCTTGACAGGCTGATGATCCCAGACAAACCCTGGCCCTGCCAGCCTCTTACCCATGGGTCCTGGGATGGGTTGCTTTGTCTCTGCAAGATGAGGAGGTGGGCAAGGACCATGGCTGGTGCCCAGATGGAGGGGCGGGATGCCTCACGGAGCAAATGACAAAGGCTCAGGCACAAAAATCCCACCTGCCCCCCAGGCTCCCTAGAGCTTCTGCCGCTACAGCTGCCCTATGATGGAAGCAAGGTGTCCAGGCTCTTGTCCATTTTACAGATGAGATCCCTGAGGCCCTGAGAAGAGGTGGCCATGCCATTAGAAGTGGCAGATATAATGTGTCTCTGGGACACATTTAAAGCAGTGTGTAGAGGGAAATTTATAGCACTAAATGCCCACAAGAGAAAGCAGGAAAGATCTAAAATTGACACCCTAATATCACCATTAAAAGAACTAGAGAAGCAAGAGCAAACACATTCAAAAGGTAGCAGAAGGCAAGACATAACCAAGATCAGAGCAGAACTGAAGGAGATAGAGACACAAAAAACTCTTCAAAAAATCAATGAATCCAGGAGCTGGTTTTTCGAAAAGATCAACAAAATTGATAGACTGCTAGCAAGACTAATAAAGAAGAAGAAAGAGAAGAATCAAATAGACGCAATAAAAAATGATAAAGGGGATGTCACCACCGATCCCACAGAAATACAAACTACCATCAAAGAATACTATAAACATCTCTACGCAAATAAACTAGAAAATCTAGAAGAAATTGGTAAATTCCTGGACACATACACCCTCCCAAGACTAAACCAGGAAGAAGTTGAATCCCTGAATAGACCAATAACAGGCTCTGAAATTGAGGCAACAATTAATAGCCTACCAACCAAAAAAGGTCCAGGACCAGACGGATTCATAGCTGAATTCTACCAGAGGACACGCGCCGCAGTGAAACATGCCAGTCATCACTGGTCACAGAGAAATGCAAATCAAACCACAATGAGATACCATTCACGCACGGTTAGTATGGCAATCATTAAAAGAATCAGGAAAACACAGGTGTGGAGAGGATGTGGAGGAAATAGGAACACTTTTGCACTGTGGTGGGATTGGAAACTAGTTCAATCACTGTGGGACAGTGTGGCGATCCTCAAGGATCTAGCACTAGACAAGTACCATTTGACCAGCCATCCCATTACATGGGAATATACCAAAGGATATAAATCATGCTTGCTATAAAGATACATGCACACGGTATGTTATTGCGGCAGCTATTCACAATAGCAAGGACTGGAATCACCCAAATGTCCACCAGTGAGTAGGACTGGTTAAGTAAAATGTGGCGCATATCACCATGGAATAATGCAGCCATAGAATAAGGATGAAGTTCCATGTCTTTGTAGGGACATGGCTTGCA